GACAGGGTGTGCAAATTCTTAACTACTGTCGTTAAGTAGGCAATATCTGACCTTCGCATGGAACCCCTGTCCGGAGATATCGCGCTGGGTTTGTCAATTTTTGTTTCTTTTTCAAGTCCCAGCGGATCGGGATCTTCTAGAATAATGAATGTTATGAGGCGTTATGTCGTGCCACCTCTAAGTGCCGTTTCTGCTTGAGGAATGATCGAAGTCGGAAAATGCCGAGCGGATATAAATGTCTTAATAATGCGAATATAATAGCGTATGCGAATAATAACAAGGTCGGATTCGAAAGTGAACGGAAGCACCAGGCTAAAACATATAAAAAAAAGAATTGATATTGTAATAGAAAAACTCACAGCATAAAAGTAAAGAGCGTCGTAGTTGGATCCATGGTAAAAATGAGAAAATGGCGTCGTAGGCTTAAAAGGATGAAAATAATTGGAGATATATAGGGGTATATATTGGTTAATCCGCCCACCGATGTTAAATAAGAATATTTACCGCCGGAAAGTTCTTAAGTTAGAACCATAAATTGACTGAAACGGTTGCCAACTTTGGTTGCGATGTTTCGACAGACGCAGGAACGTAGTAATTGTGCAGTGCAACTATTTGTGCTTAGGCAAATTCAATGAATTGGCCAATAGAATTCACAATTTGGACGCACGGAAGCGCCGTAAGTCGAATTGTTTAGCGGCCGGCGCTTAAAAAAAGTACATAGGCTGGTGAGATTGCGAATGTAAGGGTCGTTTAAGGCCGCGTAAGAGACCCCCTCTCTCACACGGTTATGAGAAAGGCCTAGGTTAGTCTAGCAAATTGTAGGAGGCATGTAAAAATCGTATTGCTCGTAAGACGTATGTACCTATGCATTAGTGTAGAAAGCCTTACACTACCCAGAAAGACGAAATGAGGGGGGCTTGGGAAGGCTGAAAGCTAGGTACTCAAGGAGTCACGATGACTTGATGGCTTAGAAGGGGCGTATTTTAGACTTAAGAAACGTGTTAAAGATTGCATTAATGAACCATTGACCGGTCAGGGGAAAAATCGAATGTGATCTTAATATTCCATTCCCATATTCATTCAAGGTTCAGTCCGAGTCGTGTTTGAGAGAGGATGGTCACAGTGAGATAAGAGGTTGAGCATTATTATTACTATCTTATGATTTATGCAGTTCATAGTTGCGTCGGCGAATATTGGCTGGAAGGGAACGAATATATGATAACAATGACGATAACTTGTTAAAGATGATTCAAGCTTGCATGAATTCACTGGGCGGGCGTCTTAGAAAGGAATAGGTATTGAAGGAGCAAGATAAAAGGAAATGACGACAGTCTGATGGGATGACGAGGAAAGCAGATCTTGGCCGGTTTTAGAATATAGAAGGTTTGATTGAGACGAAAGAGGAAAAGGGGGACCTCTGAAACTTAATATCATTGGCTAGATTGATCATACTACCCGCATGCGAACAATGAATTGGATGTCTTTATAAGAGTACCTAATAGTAAAAACGAGCCCGAAACCGTACGACGTACGACGGTAAAGACCAAAGACCAACTTATGTACAATGCCTTTCGTTTCACCCGCTAGTTAATACACACCTACCTGTTATGTAAACAATCCTAGTTTCGGCATCTACAATACTACCTGTGTATCCCGATACTAGCGTATCCTAGCGTAGATAGCGTAGAACACTTTCTATTGTTCTAACCTAACCTAGTGTAAAGGACTCGGCTGGTGGTACGGTGGCTTGCATAATGGGTGCCACAGAATACCTAAGCAACCAGCCAATTGGTACAGGCTAAGCATAGCTGCATTAAACTACATCCATGTAATTTTCTCCAGGTCTCGCAATCCACTCAAGATTCAACCTATCGCAACTGGTTGATGATAGTTCATCAACTACTTCCAGACCATTCCATGTCTCAGAATGGCATAACAATAGCGAATGAGGTTTGTTGCTTCGTCTGCTTGAATATGTTAGCGCCATATTGACTTTTAAACATCTCTTGTCTTTTATCCAATTGGCCTGTACGGAATACGTCCTCATCAACACGATCCATTTACAAGAGCGATATCGTAGCAACGGGATCTCCAGGTCACATTACTCTTCTCGGCAGCATTAAATGCGACTTAACTCGGGATAAACCTAGTACAGTAAAACAATAATTCCATCAACATAAGCATTTAATAAATCAAACATCAAGCTTCGTTGGTCCTTGGAGCGGTGTCACATACCAAGAAAGAAAGAAGAAAGCACATCCACGAGCATACTCGACATACCTTTTTTACCCGAAAAGAAAACAAGGCATCAAAAGGCGACTTGCTGATTTAAACTAACTGCAACATTGAAGATGTCGCCGTCGAAACCCCGTACGTGTCGCACTTTACGCGTAATATCTACATCTTGGCGATAAATGTAAGAATTATGCTGGAATGTATCAGCAGGGCGCATAAAATGAATAATTACGGCGACGCCGTCTTTCGGTACAAGATGCTACGCTGTAGACGACAGATGTGGCTTGCATTGTATGGCTTCCGCCAACAAGCTGAAATCGCGGAATTCTGTCCACGAAAAGCAAAAGTTCTGCGGAATTGGACGACAAGCATTAGGTGATTTCTTGACATTCTTCTTTATAGGTGCGGCTAGCTAGGCTGCTCTATCTTACAAGTGAAACCTCACGATCCGCAATGGCGCATTTCAGCTCGACGTACAAGGCCGGCCGGCTTGCATACACTTGCATTTGAGATGAGCCACTTCGCTAAGTTAGCATCCCAAGTTGCCGGGCCAGCGGCGTGATGATTCGTACAATGTCAACTGGCACATCCTTGTCGACAAAGATTATGGCGCCAACGTTATAGACTTCACGGGTATCACTGTCGGCGATTACCTTAGGTACTCTTGCAGTTTCGATACTACCTACTTACTAGATTACTCCTTACTAGGGCGATGCCATTATCCGAACCATGTCTCGTTTCCATCAATTCCATATTGTTTCGCGACTCTTGGACCACAAGTTTGATCTACGAAGATATTTCTGCTTGGCATAACAGTATGGCTTTAGCCTAGGACCGTTAGTCGAGAGGCGCGCTTTTTATCAAGTATCATGCGGGCCTCATCCATCGTTACCAACTGCTCAAGTTCAGCTTCAACTGTAGCTTATAGTTTGACATAGATCTCTTATAGCTGAAAGATAGTTTTGGTTTTAACTCACTTTATGCTTTGGGCTTCGCGAAAACTCATGAAGGATTATTTATTGCTGAATCAGAGCCTTCCACGCTCTGCCTAGACCTGGACCAAAGCAGTGCTCACAGAACGACATGCTCATGTATTAAGCAGAGATTACTTGCTCGGCCAGAAATTTCGATCTCCAGCTCTGCCCGAAGGGTTCCTCTTGCTGTGCCGGCCTAGCAGCTGAATCGTCCTACTCCAACGACAGATGCTGCTTCAGTGGGTTACACCGTTCATACGTTCACGCGGCCACCCATATATTAACTTACTCATACTGGCACTTCGTAATTCATCCGTTTAGGGCCCTATGTGTGCGTTATTGTAGGTTCTCCTAATACCATTGAGTTACTAATAATAGCTCGTCAGCTAGCGTGTCGAATATACTCCTTTCCCCGACTCTAGGCAGCTTTGATTTTGTAGGTAGAGAATGCATTCGTTCTGAGTTCAGTTAAGACAAACCGCCCGAGAATTTATTGTAAAAGACAAGAGAGTCACAAGCAGTAAGGTCAAGGGATACTAGACCTACTGTCATCCAGCATTCGTATTCCTACCATAATTAAAACCCCTGAAATTTCTGTCGGCATGCCGCAGACACGCGTAACCAATACGTAAAGTACCATCGGCGAAACTCACCAGTTCAAATTTAACATGCCGTATTCTTCGGGTTTTACGTTGCCCCTATTTTCTCTGCTATACGATGTTACGGGCGTCCATATTACCAAGATGAAGTATAATGATACTCCCACCGATAAGGCTCTGCCCCTATTATCCCATGAAAGCCTCATTAAAAGCATTCAGCCAGTTGCATCAATGTAGAGATCCTTGGTTTGCTCATGACAGAACACAGGATTCATAGTATATACAACTCGGATCCCAGAGGTAGAATTCTCACCATAGCAGAATATATATACATGTACCTAATAATCCACTGTGGTTTCTCACCTTAGGTAGGCAATTCTCCTTTAAATCCCTAGGCCATCTGAAGGTGTTGCCAACCTCACCTCTCAATAGAATCCTAAAATAACTGTTGATCTTAGCGATGGACACTAATGGCGTCTCAGTGAGGTATTTCATGGTCGATGTGAACAAGGTCCTTTACTTGGGATTTGCAAATAAGTACCCACCCTTTTCCAGAGCGACAGGACCGTTTGATAGAGGTACAAGGCGTTGTGAAGCCACTTGCCAAGTTGAAGGACGCCTAAGTCATCCCCCTTTCCATCGATACCTTACGGAATAGTACGAGCAGTTCCATTCCAGGAATTCCTCCGCCCCGACACAAGCTGCTCCGATTCGATATTCTTAGTCTTCAACCCCCAGCAAAACTTATAAGCCGAATATTTCTAACGACCAGTCCAACGTATATCTGGCCCAGCCTTTAGCGCAAGTGCGATTTCATGTTACAGGATCCCGTGCCGGTGATGGCATGAGAGGGCCTTGTCAAGCCGGCTAAGACAGGAAAACGTGTTTATTAAAAGGGAGTTTAGAGGCTCATGCTGCGATGGTGGAAGATAAGGAGAGGAATGCTTCCCGAATGATGTACGTGTTGTCGAACATACTACCGCACCACTAAAAGGTAATTTGGTAATAATATTCTTCCTATCACATCATTTGTATCTGACACTTGTTCGATGCAATGTCTGTACCGAAGATCTATCAACATAAGTAGGACCTGATATTTCTTCAGCACTTCAATCTTGCCACCATCACTGGAAGCACCCAAAACTACCTAAGATAAACGAACACATATGTGTTGACCAAAGTATCTTAGACTCTATAACTCCATAACAAACACAAACTTCCGGGCTTCGGTCTGAAGGCCGCGGATGCCCCGCGCGTTGGTCAGCCCCATAACCTAAAAGGAAAATACATGATCAAAAATAGGCAAAGTGTTGCTGAATACAATCCTGGGATAGTTTGAAGGCTGTTTCTTACACCCCCCTCGGACTCGCTTCTCTTGAGCTCAATGTGCTGCTGAAGAGGATGATACTCATCCTGACCGTAGGTCGCATTCAACGTCACATTCTCGGGAACCAATCCGTCTTCTAGTCGAATCCACGTAACTACTTCCTTTGTTAGGGTTTCTTGCCTTAGGAAGATCTGTCTTCCACCACGAGCCAGGTTTCCATAGCCTCCATATCCTGTATGACGACCATAGCATACGTTGACACCATCTCCAGCGGAGGCTTGATTGGCAGTAGTGCTTTTCCACTTGAAGCACCTATAGAAATGAACATTAGCGACCAAATCTTCCCAAGACTGATACAGATTACTCCTACCAGTCATTGTCATGGTCGTGGCCGCTAAAGGTTGCTAACAGCCCATCCGTGTTCGACAGCGCGGTCATGAACGACACGTCGTGGCCAACCTTGCCATCGAACATTCGGCCTTGCCACCAGACCTTTTCCCCGTCGATGCCCGGTTCCCTACTGGCATCAACACCTGGAGATTCCTGGAATTCATATGTGGCAGTGATAGGTATGTGAAAAAAAGCAAGCGACGGGATGGTCTTCTTGTATTGTTGGGTGAGATTTGCACTAGTTTCCTTAAACCAGTCGACAACCTAATCAGTGTTAGCAGGTGCAGTTGGACTGGGAAACGAAGGCGACGTTTACCGAATCATCGACCCAGTCATGTCGCTCGTCTCCTCCTCTACTGTCAAAAAACCATAGGATGGCTTCTGGCACATCCTGATTCCCAGAGGCCGAATATACCGGTAGAAAGTAATTGGAGACTCCCGCCTGAGAATTACCAGGCAACATGTTTTTAGTTAGACTGTTTTTGTAATCCTGTTCTCGTCTTAAAAGGTCGGTAGACTTTGAATAAGCTTGATTATCGTGATTCCCGTATGTCGTTGCCCACGGCAGGCCCAAATCAACAATTGGTGCGACAATCTGATCCAAGTAAAGCGTCGCGTTGTCGGCCTTTGTGTCATAGCCCGATATAAGATCTCCATTGAGCACGACTAACTGTGAATGCTCGCGTTCAAGCACCTTTTTTACAACTTCTGCAGTCCTCGCGTCCTTCATTGGACCGTTTATGCTGTCCTCTTCTGGGGGAATGTTTTTATATTAGAACCCGTACTACTCGACCTTGAAATGGTCGGCTTACCCTCGGCAAAATGGAGATCTGAGAATACGGTAATCTGAAAGGTGCCATCTTGAAGGAATCTCAGTACGTGGTTGTCGCTCGATTGCGATGGAGTATGTGGTGAGCGATGCTTCCAGCTTAGAGGTCGGAAAATCATCTCGAGCATGTCAGGTAGAACCTATCAAATACAGATGACAAAACCCTCGAGTTCTAAGAGGTTTCTAACCAGAAAAATAAAAACGCGCTTTGACCGAGAGGGAAAAAAGAAGAGATGGGAAAAAAAGAAAGATAAATATAAATTTAAAAATAAATGTTAAAATATTATGATTTTTTTTTATAAAGAATATATGATAAAACGGCGATTAAATCAATAATGTATAAAAGCTTAACAAAGTTAAAATTAAAAAATCAAGATTTATATATGTTTTAATTGGTTCAAAAAGTGATGTGGTTCAAAGGGTACAACAAAAGGAACGAGATTTCGAATTTCTGGTTTAAAGTCACCTGAGATAACATTTTCAATGGGTATAACGTATCCTCGTAGCTAGCCATGGGTATAGACGCCGCCGAGTTGGCTAAGACCGTCGGAGCTAGTGGACGTGATGCGTATCGGTACCGGGACCCACGCTTCCGCCATGTCCGGGCTGCGCTGGAGGCAGCAACGGCAACTAGACCTTTGCAGCCGCGCTCGATGAAGCGTCTGCAGGGGGTCTAGAGGCAATTATCCATGTCACTGAGAGACATATCTCTAAGCATGTCGGTGAGATCTTGATGCTGGGAGACGATGAACTAGAATTGGAAGGACACTCTATTGCGAGCTATGGGTTGGATAGGGTTAGTATGATCCATACTGAGATGAGGACATGGCTCTTGATATTCTCTCACGATTGATACAAGAGTCACGATATTGTTTGGCGGTCCGTTATATCTATAACTTCACCCCTTTGTGTGCCTTGCAGCCAAAACGAGGCTTATAGCTAACTTGCCCTTGGATTAGGTTAAACCAACAACATCTTAAAAGGGGTAACAGATTAAAGGGGGCTTGAGGGAGCTCAGGTTATATCACGGGTCTAGATCAATATGATGTCAAGAACTCGATACATAACTGATCAGGTATTAACTGAGACTCAGATAGCAATAAAATTTCATTCGTGTATCATCGTGAAGTGTCTGAGTAGGGTCAAGCCTACCAGCCCCAGGTCATCATTAGTAATAAATGCCTACGGGCAATATGAGAGGGCGGAAAGCGATGCGAAGTCTCGCATTTCTCTCTTCGGATACTTAAAATAGAAAATAGAATAAAACATCATTGCTATCATAATGAAATAATCAGGTTGAACATTTTATACGGTAATAGTGATATGTTGCGATTATGTAGTTTCTGGACGAGGTTAAAACATATGCGTCCTCAAATTGAGATAGATGTGCAAGACAGTTAGATTAATTCAACTAGTACTTATTTTTAGATATTGTGCTATTAGGAAAGAGTATTCCTAGCTGCTGATCTTAAATAGCTTCTATGATTTTAATGGTGGATTGACGACATGTTCGGTGAGGTCTTTACGAGGGTTTATCCCTATTAGTCTCCAAGATGCGAAATTGCCACCGTTATCCCCAGCCACCGCCCAAAACCAGAGTTACCATATACATTCGAGAAAGTTTAGCCCACCCCCGTAATATATTTAATATTACCCTTTTGAGTCAGGGGCTATGTCATCTTCTCAGGAAGTATTGAATAGGAGAGTCCTATTCATATGTCAGCTTAGGGGTTGAGGTCATAGTTTAACCTCAAAGGTAGCCATTAAGCTCCATGTCGCGAACTGGAACCGCATGTTGGCACTGGATCGAATTATGTTCAGAAACAGAGTAGCGACGGTATATTCCTTTTGATCCGTAAGACTGGAGCTGAAGTGATAGAAGCTTTATGCTACCCAGTGCTTTTGTATAAATACCCAAGAACATCCTCCAATTCTAACTCAATGTTCACTATTAAGAAACTAACTTACTCATACTATTATAACTAAGTCAACAATACAGCCGACAAAAATGAAGGCATCGCTGCTTCTTAGCCTTGGCGCTCTAGCGCTCCCAGGAGTCACGGCATCTCCGCTACACGAGATCGAATCGAGAGAAGGCTCCCACTCATTCATGGGCTCCAACTTGTGTAAGTAATACCAAAAATATCCCATTTGGAGCTCCATGTCGAAATGGCCTGTAATCGGCTGCCAGGAGTGTGACGAAAGTTTTCAAACGGAATTAAACACTGACTCTTAGTATTCCAGACTTCCTTCCAGGTCTGTCTGATCGAGACCAAGATCAATACATCAACGACCTTTCCAGCTATGGCGTCAAAGTAGTCCGCGTGTGGGTAAACCAACAAGCTGCGGGCCACTGTGAAAAAGGCAGTAACCTTGCGGTAAATATAGGGCCACTGGAGTCCGAGCTGGGCAAATTCGACGACAAGACGCTGGATGCCGTCGATAAAGTCGTCAACAAGCTAGCCAAGAAGGGTATCAAGTCTATTATTTCGCCCCACGATGCAAACTCGCTTCTCGATGACTATCGAAGGTAAGCATTCGGTCTACTTGGAGCACTCTACTACTCAGGGGTTAGAGCAAGAATACCCGGACTGACGATGAACGGTTGAAAATATACAGGGACGTATACACCAAGTTTGGCAAGTCCGGATTCTATTCTTCGGAGGATGCCATCAAAGCCTACGACAATCGAATCGGCCATATTCTCAACTACAAGGGAGCCCACTCCGGCAAGGTATGGAAGAGCTGGAGCGACGCAATCATGGCATTTGACATCCAGGTAAGTCCTATCTCTTCGAGCCTGCATCTAGCAATGCTCACTGCCGGAAAACATAGAACGAGCCCATGTCGCCAGACCTTTCCGTCTGCAAGAATAACGACCAGAAGAACTGGCTCTGCGGGCGCGCCAAGAAGCTCCGCAATGTCCTGGGCGCCAACAACAAGATCCAAATCGCGACCGGAGGTATCGGCGGTGACATTTCGCACGACTGCACCTTCATCAAGGCTGCCACGAAGTGCCCCGAGATCGACCTAATCGCCATCCATCGGTATGCGGGCAGCCAGTCTAACAACCCCGGTAAGTCCACCCCTTAATTGGCAACACATCTGTCTCTAGAATTAGTTGGTTAATACAAGCAACTAAACGCACCATTAGGTCAATGGTCTGGCGGCGCCAAAAACTGGGTCAAGCAGGCCGGCGGCAAGCTCATCTTCGTCGAGGAATGGGGAGTCAACACTGCCGCCAACAGCGCCAAGAGCGAGCTGCCTGCCCAAGCCAACGACATCAATAAAGTTGGTCTGCCAAACTTGTATTGGCAATTCCTCCCTAAGAAGGCCTGTCCCTACGACCCTAGACAGGATTCCGGCGACCACTTTGGTATCTTCGTCGAGGGCGACGTGGATATTGCTTCGGTCGTGAAGGGCGCTTCTAACGCCAATGCTTTACAGGATTGGTCGAAGGTCATTGGATAGACCAGACTTTTGGATCTCGTATCAACGCTTTGTTGGATTTCCGTGAAGCCTTAGGAGATATTTCTTTATAGATCGTCGAGTGGCCTATCTTGAACCACGCGGATGTACATACTTGTCAGAATTTGTTTCTTGGTCTCTCGTTTAAACACTATTACACACAGTTAGAACTTCTTATGATAGACTTTCCTTTGACCTCATTAAGCAATCTGGATAAGATTGGCACGCCGAATAAGAGAGTTGCTTACCATATGTAGATACCTAGGCTGGGAGGTAAACCCAAACCTGATGCCGAATCCCTATCGTATAGATTAATTCAATGCGGGCGAGAGGACAAAAATGATTGAATGCTGACAACATATTCGACATGTCTGCGCTTTCATTTGTACATAACCAGGCCAGACCCCGAGGATTCGTAGATATCACAAGTCAATGATAATGTACATTCTACTTCTTTATTCCTTGAGTCCCCAGAAACAAGTAACGAATTACTTGCTACATAGCCTTCAACCTGATATTCGTCGTCACTACGTCATAAACCTCAGTAACTTATCATGCCGCTATTAAAACAATCGCTTGTTACACCTCGTCGCCAGCCACGCTTTCGTACCCGCCTCTCCTCCGCCCGCTTGAAACCGCGCCGCCTAGCCCTAGGTTCATTGCAGCTGGGCTCTCGTAAATTTCTGTGTAGTTAATACTCTCGCCGTTTAACACCGCATCACCCGTCTCTCTGCGCCCGAATATAGGTGCCGGGTCGCACCAGAAGTCGCGACAGTTCTGTACCAAGCCCTTGTTATAGGGGTTACGCTTCTTCCGCGTTGTCTTCCCGGTAGCAGCGCCCCGACCTGTTGCCGTCTCGATGAACGTGTCGACACCGAGGAGCCTACCCCACTGCTTTAGGAAACTCTTGTGCTTATGCGCATGCGCACCTTTACCGGTTCCTAGCGGGTCGGCAGCCGCGGACGGGGGAACTGCAGCATCGGGATGGTTCGGGTCGAGGGGCGCTCCGGTGCTCGTGAAGGCCGAGACCAGCGATGACGCCGAGCCGTCTTGGACACCGTACATATTTTCGTATGTGGTCATAGCACGTGCGACCTGGACAAATTGGACGAAAATAAGCATGCCCACCCACGTAAGCTGCAGCGTCGTCCACATGCCGAGCAGTACTGTATACGGATCGCCGTTGACAACCGCACATATAGATTCCGCCAAGATGAAGCATTCTCCTTTAGAGGCAGATTTGGGGAGCTCGGAAAGGTAATAATATAGCAACCAGTCGATGGAAGCGATACCGAAGACGAGGTTGACGAGGTAGAGGAAGAAGTGGCGGTGATTATTAACGCCGACGCAGTTATTTACCCAGGGGCAGTGACTATATCGTGTGAGCTGGCGCCAATGCGTATTATGTAGACTTTTGAATATGGTACTTACTGGTCATGCTTCGCAACACACCGCTGACATCGCCTGCAGTGTTTACTCCTCAGAGGAGTCCGAATCATGCATGTGACGCAAAAGTTAGATTCGTCGAATTTCCACAAACTTAACAACTCGTCGATTACGGCTTTCTGTTCCGCGATCCCGTTGAGCTTAGGAACGTATCCGGGGTCAAAGACCATACACGCAGCATAAAAATAACCCGTCAGGCTGTAGAAGAAGAGAAATGTGAAGTTGAGGAGCGGATGTTGCGCAAATGTCGCTGAATCTGGTTAACTTGCCGTGTTGAATATCGGGTTGCTGAAAAATTAAGAAACTCACCAGGGAATATCGTCAAAATCCACCTTACGCCTACCAAAAATAAAGATGCCGCGAAGATTCCAGCTAGCCAAGGCTGAGGTCTATTAGTGATGTACCATACTCATTGGGCCGAGAATACCTACCGTCTTATGTAGATGTCGCATATCTGGGGGGGCATACTCGAGAATCTGATTCGTAGTCCACTGAAAGCCGAACCCTATCAAGAGCGCGATTGGTATAGACAGCAATATAGGCAAGTGAGCCATGACCACCAGCTCGGTAAACAGCAGCGGGACGGGCAAGAGAAACAAGGATTTGTTCATAAACCCGCGCTTATCCTTGAGGAAGAAAGACGATCCAGGCCACCAGGGGGTTACGACATGCCCGTCTTCGTCATAACCACATTCTTTCAAGGCTCTATGCCAGGCGTTGACGGTATTGAGATCCCTCGCTGTTATCGCGGGAGTCTTTCCCGTGCTCGTCTTCGCGAAGCGGTCCGAGCCGTATTCTAGAAGCTTAAGTATACATAGCGGTGAACCTTTGACCAGACCCCAATGCAATGCCGTGAAGCCTTGTTCGTCAGTCGCATGCACGCTCGCGCCCCATCGCAGGAAGAGGTCTACGCATTGCGGAAAGCCCTTGTACGCAGCCCACATGAGACACGTATGCCCATAAGAATCGGCTACGTCGACAGGAATGCCTTGGTGTAGCAATAATACTACCAACAAGACGTTTCCGCTAAACGTCGAGATATGAAGAGTATTGTAACCTTGGGCGTCGGTAATGAGAGGATCGGCGCCGTGTTGAAGGAGAAGGTTGACGGTGTAGTAGTTTGATCGTTGGGCAGCCCACTGCAATGGCGTTGCGATGCTCTCGCCTCCTTTCTTATTTATGTCGGCGCCTTTCTCGATGAGGAATTTGCACATCGCATACTGGTTGTTAATAGCTGCCCACTACGAGGGATCGTTAGTAAAGTAGCGCAGGAAGGGAGACGCGTGGACCAGCGCATACGTGCAGCGGCGTGATGCCTTCGTCGTCCGTATAAGTCGCGTCAAAATCCGAGGACCCAAAAAGCTTTTCCATAGCTACAATATCTCCTACTCTAGCAATCTGCATTATATCCGGTTCGGACGGGGACGGATCTCCACTAGGAAGGTTACCCATCTCCATCTCTTGCGAGTTAAGCTTCGGAGCGGCGGCAGGGCCTTTCGAAGACGGCTGTATCGGAGCGCCGACGGAATTGGCATTTAATAATGCGTCTTGGGCCATCGTGCGTGGCTGGCTAATCCTTCGGAGTTGACGAGGACGGTCGGTTTGCTAGATTCGCAGGTCTTCCGAGATGTTGATTAACAAAGAACCTGAAAGAAGAAGAAGAAGAAAAAGAAAGAAAAACGGTCTAGTTGAATCGAAGTATCGCGAGAGATGGCTAAGAAGAAAGAATTGGCTGAGAAGAAGAGTTAGGCACTTGTATGGATTTTATACAATTCAAACAGAATAGAAGTTACTCGGATAATAAAGGTTCCTTACAAATTTGATGCCCAATTCAAAAAGACAACATCATCATCATCATTAGTCTTTAGTCTTAGACGAGGATATTTACCTAAGATACTTCATTAATGTATTGGGTAGGTATGTAGGTAGGTAAGGTAATGAATGATCTTGTTGGTTGCCTCGAATTATTATCATATATCAGATCAGGTCAGCAATCCGCGTCAACTTGCTAACACTGCTACACTGCTACATAAAAACACCCGTGACATTTGGTGGTGCCGCCTTGCCGTTCCAGCCGTCGTCAGTGCTAAGCCACTTTCTCTTTATTTCTCTCTAGCCACCATATTTAATTGGCTGACACTGGCTGATGATAGGTACATGTACCTACCCCGGCTTAGCCAAGTACATATGTACGTACCTCTCCCGATGGGACGGTACATGCGTTAAGCTAAAGGTTCCCACTAAGACTTGGCATCGAATGATGACACTGTAACCCAACGAAGTTAATCGTATTGTACATACCGCAGGTACGATGCCCGACTTTTGTATGACCTGGCAACTTTAAACTTTACTTAGGAGCTGCTCTTCTTTTAAATAACAGCTTCTCTTCCCTTCGTCCTTTTTTCCTTTTCGCTGCCATTGCAACAACATTGCAGCACCGCGGCGAAAATGGAGGCTCTCAAGCAACTCCTCGAGTACATCCTCACGCCCTCAACCGAAATCTTTATCGTCGGCGCCCTCATCGTCTTCCTCCTACCGACTATCGTACACTTCTACATCGTCCAAACCACGCCCTATACTTCTCTTCCGTCAATCCTGCTCGCAGGACCTCCCGCCGGTGGCAAGACCTCTCTCCTCACCCTCCTCGAGCGCGGCGACTCCGCTGCCGCAACGCACACCTCGCAGGTTCCCCAGTCCGTCGAGCTGACTGTCTCCGACGATCACGGCGCTACTACCTTTCGAGAAGCTGCACGCCTCGATGCCCCAGGCTCTCACCGCAAGTTTCTACTCGTCGACACCCCGGGGCATGGAAAGCTGCGAAACCAGCATGCCATGACCCATATCGCCTCGAATACCCTGCGCGGCATCATATATGTGCTGGACGCCGCTAGTCTGGATGATGGCTTGGCAGACGCCGCATCCTTCTTGTACGACGTGCTCCTCGCACTCCAGAAACGCACGGGCGCCGGGAAGACTTCCAAAGCGCCTACCGCGATCCATGTTCTTATCGCTGCGAACAAGTTGGACCTATTCACTGCTTTGCCCGCCTCTCTTGTCAAGAGCAACCTCGAGGCCGAACTTGGCCGGATAAGACAGTCTCGAAGCAAAGGGCTGCTGGATTCGGGGGTTGGCGTGGATGAGGTCGGCTCTGAGGAACAGGACGATTGGCTGGGCCAGTACGGCTCCGAGAAGTTTTCGTTCGGTCAGATGAGGGAGTTCGATATCGAAGTGGAAGTTATCGGCGGGAGCGTCCTTGACGGCAAAGTAGACAAGTGGTGGGATTGGATATCGCAAAGAATCTAAACCTCACTCTAATATATAATAATTTTGGGCTCGGTGGGTGCAGCAACATTGCTGGTTTCTAGCAGTTCGCTTGACCACGCCTTTTCCCCAAGTTCTCTTAATGTATATCTTATAGATTCCACCGAGGACCTGGCATTCATATCGTCTTGAGTTTTCACATGAGAGGTTATCTCTCATTAGTCGAACTTGCGGCTATACAAGATGAACTTTGTATATCGTCGTCATTGGCTTAGGTACTTATTAAACCCTCGACAGCAGAGTCTGCATCTATGATTTACTACATGTTGATGCTAAATATCAAAGTATCATACAGTATCGCAATATCGCGAATTATCGTGTGAATATGACTTAAGTACCGTAATACGTAATCTCATTACGACAGCGTATTCTACAAACGATGTCTATGTGAATAACTCAAGCGAATAACCGATTCCGTCTGTAGACGTTGAGCCCACCATGTATAACCCACCCAAGTCTAGATTATTGAGTTGGTCGATCTAAGTTCCAGATGGAATTCCACCTTAGCGCCATGCAATGACTTGTTTTCAGTCACTTAGTAGCGGACAACAAAAAGCACGCCCGTAAGATAAACCCAACCTCAATCAAGCTTTAACCTGCTTGACCATCCAGGTCAGCAAGTCAACCTTGGTGACCACAGCGACGGGCTTGCTAAGCGCTTTTGCTTTTCCTTGGATAGGCTCGATGACAACGGCAGCGCTGTTCCACTCGAAGAACCTACTAAGTTCCGTGATGGGCGTGTCAAGCGTGATCTCGACAAACTTTCGGCGCTTGCCTCCCTTTCCTTCTCTAGGGTCGGTAACCACCTCGTCTATTTTGCTAAAATCAAACATGACATCCTTAACCGGGCTTTGCCCACTAGCTCGTCCGCGCGATACGTAGCTGAGGAGATTGCCGAGGGTGACGAGACCCACGAGCTTACCTCCCGCGCTGGCAAGAACCGGAAGTTGATCGTAGCCCTTGTCACGCATAGTCTCGATAGCCTCGGCGCACGGGCTGGTGGCAAGGACTGAGAGGACCGGTTTCAGTCTCAGTGAGCGAACTGTTGCTCCAGAGTAAGGGCCCTCGGGCTTCTTCTCCAAATCGATATTAGCCACTGCTTCCTTTGCCGCCGAGTCGGCAGGCGGCAGAAGATCATTAGCTGCCAGCCAGTCGTCATCCGCAAACTTTGTCAGATAGCTTCGGATGCTATCTGGTAGAATGACAACGACAACATCATTCTTACCCAGCCCGAGATCCTTGACTGCTTTCAACGCAGCACTCAGAGCACTTCCAGAGCTTCCGCCAACAAGCAGCCCCTCCTCAGAAATCAGCCGTCGTGCAAGCTTAAATGACTCTTTGTCGTCTGTCTTGTACCACTTGTCAACTTTTTCTCGATCGAGCACATCAGGTATGAAGTCGTAGCCAATTCCTTCAACTTTATACGGCTCGTCGCGGTGCTCGTTATTGAGCACCTCAGGCAAAGCCAATATACTCCCTTGAGGATCGGCAGCCACGACTTTGATATCCTTGTTATGTTTCTTCAGCCCCTTTGCCAAGCCCGTAATGGTGCCACCTGTTCCGGCACCAGCTACGATACATGTGATCTTGCCGCCGGTTTGTTCCCAGATCTCCTCGGCCGTGCCAAATTCGTGGGCGAGCGGGTTGTTCTCATTTGAGTATTGGTCCAATATGTGCGCGTTGGGGATTTCTTTAACCAACCTCTTCGCCACACCAATATGACTCTCGGGACTATCCCACGCTGCCTGGGTCGGTGTGCGGATGATGGTTGCGCCTAGGGCTTTCAACACAGAGACCTTTTCGGCAGACATCTTTTCAGGAAGAGTAATAATAGTCTTATATCCCTTGATCGCGCCGACCAGTGCTAGACCAATACCGGTGTTTCCACTGGTGGGCTCGATTAGCGTATCGCCAGGCTTGATGCGGCCGCTTCGCTCAGCCTCTTCGATCATCCGCAAGGCAATGCGGTCCTTGACGGAACCGCCAGCGTTGAAGAGTTCTACTTTGGCATATACTTCGCTCTCGATGCCAAAAGACTGCGGGATCTTGTTCAGGCGTACTAAAGGCGTGTTGCCGATTAATTCGGTCGCGGATATGACTGTCGCGGCATGCGGCGGGTTATGAGATACTGTGCCATTCGTAGTAGCCATGACGGGCAATATTTTGGAAGGGTAGATATTAGTTATTAGCTAGAATTAGAGGGCAGAGATGACCTCTTGGAGGAGTATGAAAAACAAAATATAATATAAATATAATATCTGTTGGGCGAAAGAAAGAGGGATAGCAAAGTATTAACCTGGTAGATTAGATAACTACCCACCTACCTAACCTAGAAGATTTTAAAGTTTTGTTTAGGTCACACGGAATCTCGCCATTGCATTCGGCATGAGGCGAGAATTTGCGAATCCACCCCACCAGCCCACTAACCAGCTCACTACCTACCTAGGTAGGTACAATACCTAAGTACATACCCACTACCCACTACTCACTAAACAAGCCGACAATATGCGCGCTTCAGGAATAGAGTTGGACCTAGGCTAGCCTTGATCTACTATCCACTACCTATTCTTCCAATTTTAATTTCGACCTACTCTCGAAATTATCACATTGGCCTCTATCTCAGAGGGACATGTATCACGAAGGGGTTATAGTGACGAAGTGAATAAAGTACACTATGAGGACAGACGTCATGTATGAGAAGGCATAAAATAAATCCTTTAGGCTAGCTCCGGAGACCCTTATGGTATAAACATAGAGTGAATAAATGTGTCAAAGTTGACATAATGAGTTGTTAACGAGCGCGAAGCAAAATTTACTATATCGGCTAGCCTTGCCCTCGCTTATACAATGTTACAGTGTACCTAGTTAAATATGGCGTGATAACTCTTCCTTTATAACGTTCTATGAACCTACAGCTCTCTTGTCTAATTCCACACATTATTATTCTCAGGATATGAAAACATCAAAGTGCAATATAGAAATATCCGTTATTCAACATATACCATTCAAAATCATGTTGCTACGAGCGGCTATAAAAGCAAAGGTACCTAAGATATCACGGCTAACATAGGAGGTATGTAATCGGGGCAGAGCAATGCTAGCTATTATAAATGACTACCAATGCCTACAATGAAATTCAATATTCTAGATACTTTAGGTACCTAGGTAAATATTTTCACTTCTTGGCCTCAATATACTATGCCTCAATATACTATATTTTCATCGCTAATTATTTTCCCACCCGCAAAGCATACCTCGAACTCACTTGTTACGCTCTAGTATGTATCTGTGCCCTTGCTTCTCTTTCTCCCTATTTCTTTATATCGCTAACATAGGGACATAGCACTTAGAGAACATTGTTTCTTTATACCTTCATAATTACATTAACAATGCCAATTCTCTTTAAATATTCTAATTTTAGGGTACACTAGGTTAGTAACCTCCATTGTCTATTTTCAGCCGATAGAACCATGAAGAACACCCAGGAGTATTTATTACCCCGTGCAAGTACTCATAAACCCCAAATCAGTTTTATCTGCAATAATGGATAACGAATTACAAGGCGAGCGTGATCATCAAGATCGGGAACATCAAGCCGAAGAATCGGAGCTGGACTTCGACATTGAGGATTTTTTACTTGAAGAGGATCAGGGCGTAGATTGGGAGTCATGGTGGCAGATCATCGTACATCGAAACGGAGGTGTCCAAGAAGCCGAGCCCCCTGAATACCCAGACGGGGCCTGGAGTTTAGACGACAAGGAGGCCCCTTTCCCCTTTAACCTTAACGGAACATGGCACTGTGCCGCGCTGTTAATGCTGATAATTCTCGTACACTTCGAGTTGGATACGGAATGGCTGCTCCAACGCGGGTATAGGTGCTACCTCCTACGCATATTCTTCAGAATAATTCTCACGGTAGCTATCTCTTTCTTCAGCACGTTAGTCTTCGAAGTCATCGGCAATATACTCGACCTGGCGAGGGAAGCCATAATCGACAGGATTTCACTTCAGGTAAAAGCTTTCTTTGTGGAGCGCCTAGGTTGGGGACCTGTTGACAGCGAGGGACGCGCCGACTGGGCAAATGGCGTTCCATTCTACCACGATACAGCGTATTTTCACCAGCCTATTATTGAGATGGTCAGTGGCATTGCTATATTGGCTTTCCACTATGTAATTGCGGTGAAGCTATCAGTTATTCGACTAGTGGCGGGCTCTTGGATTATTTGGTTAGCGGAATTGGTATCAGCAGACCTAACTAAGTTTATTGCGAGCTTACCTTCTTATTTCGCTTTGCCTAGGCCCGAGATAAGTGATCCATTCGACGCGAGGACTTTGCTCTGGGAGCACGGAGTCCCGTGGTTTCTACAGGTGTGGACAGCGGCATTCTTGTACTTGTCCGTCTTCCTATTCATGTCGAGAGCGGAAAAACCAATCATCCTAGGACTAGGTGGCCAAGATCCCTTTTCTAAACTTGTTTTTCAGCTTCTTCGGGCGACTGCTATGCACCTGCTAGCATACACGGCTTACCAAATTACCTGTAGTTGCGTAATCGCCGCTCAAGCACTTCTATTCCAGTATAACATGTACGATTTGTACGATTCCCTACTTGGTCACATATTTACGAAGAGGAGTAACATAGAGCTATCATTGGGAGCTGGCGTATGGATTATGGTTGCGCACTGGCTGGTTAAGAGCGCTTGTAGATGGTTCGTGGTTGTCTGTTGGCCGTTGTGGATTTCATACATCGCATGGCTATCAATCAAGACGGAGGAATCAACTTGGCAGAACTGGATTGTATATGGATCACTGCTCGACAATGATATGGATGTACTTGATCCGGACAAGAGAGTTACTGCGAGGGCAATAATGACCACCCTGTTTGGCTTGAAGAGCTCATGGCCAGCTAGAATGAGACTAAGTACGGGCGATGATGTAGACTAGCTATATTTTACGTGCTAGTATAATATGGTTAATAGAGGTATTATTGGGTAGTTATCGGGTAGTTACGAGATGAGTATTTATTTTAGGTCAAGTTCTTGATTTATTAGAAGCATAGGAGGTCATTTATCACATATTACGTAGGAAACTTAGTATCATTTGCTCCACGTTGTCTGCTGCCTCAGGCTGTATTGTTTACCCACGTATGTTTCCTTTCTCTTGCCGCCTAGGTATCCTAAGTGCTTGGTTAACAGATCGTAGTTACCCATGACTTTAGTATGGCCATAAGTATTTCGCTGTTGTTAAGTTATATATTACTTAATCTCATAGATTCGGGGGAAAATATCCTGAGTTGACCGTTATGCCTCTTATTCGCGCAGCGATGCTTTCTACCTAATAATTTGAAGTTTCCTATCTAACTGATGTTTCTATTCTTATTAAACTTATGAGATTTACGAAAGGCAGTAGGGATATTAGCTAGCAAAATGATATCTTGCTATATTTGGCTCACGGACAGATATGTCCACTGCCCAGCTCCAGATATTTCAGCCCTATCATAAAGACACCAAGTAGAGCCGCTAGCAGAACCAGATCTTCCACCCACATACACCATCTATCAATTTCCTCAAGTTGTGACATCCGATCGTCTAGTTGTACCATCGCTAATGCCTTAGATGCTCCCTCTTATTCTCTTCGCGCGGCGACTTTAGACCCATCATTTAAGAGCGATTGGCGGCGTACTTTGTTTTTGGTAGCGGTGGACCCGGACTGGATGCATTTGTTACTTCATGATCTCGAAAATTGACATCATTGGTCTGGGCTTTTGAGCCCCTGGCTTTAGTCCCGTCCATCAGAGAGGCCTCTGGGCACGGTTTATCCCCGGAGCTCAAAACCCGGGCCCCTTTTTAGCGTTGATCGGCCTGGTTTGGGCTCAAGGGGATAAGCCGCTCGCCTCATTTTCCTCGACGCGGGCGAATCAAGCCAACTCTCGTTTCTACCGGCTCACTAGTCACGCCCTCAGCTACAATTCTATATTGATTCATCTTATGGAAAATTAGGATCTAGTTCAAACACGATGACGTCACCTTCAGGTGTAAAAAGGCCGCTCAAAGTGTCCAGCGGCAATCCTCAGGCACAGAACGCGCCGGCAAAACGCGTCAGGCACAAGAGCTCAAGCAAAACGAGCACGGCGGTCTGGGATGTGACTGGCCGCTACACCCTTTGCTGTGCAAACAAGTACCAGCCCGTGGATGCTAACGACTACGTTCTAGATATGCGTTATACGCATACTAGCTCCCATACGTGTCAGCTATATGCCTTCTTTAATTTCCCAAATCTGAATCTTACTGGTAGAATGCGATTATGCCCGAAGAACGCAATCGCGTCAAGTTCTAACGGCAAACTATTTCTCTCCAATTTTGAGGCAGCATGTGAATTGGCTGAGGATGTGAGACCAGGCCCGAAATCAAAAGAGTGGTTGATGAGGGTATGTACCTAATCTCCAGGGCTCTCTTTGTCTTGGCCTATTTCGGCTGCCAGAATTACTAATAGTGCCTGTTTTGGGATAACTTCATTTGGGCCTTTCCCTTCATTATGAGGCCTATGACTAATATCTTGGACAGTGGCGCGGCGAGGAAGACGGCTTTAGGTTAGGCGGGGAGACTCGAGCACAAGGCCAATTCCTGTTCGAAGAGGAAAATGGCCCCAAGATACGCATCAAGTTCGCCATGGTGCACAAGGGCAAGCATTTAATCCTAGAGGGGACGCAGCAAGATACGAGTCCCGAGAGTGATGAGGATAAAGTTGCTGCCGAAGACCCGACGGCGCAAACTGATGCGTCCCGGATGCTAGAGGATTGGAAGCAGCTCTACGAGCCTTTGTGGGAGCAGAAGTCCCCTTCGGATACTGAGGAAGACGAGCGAGAGTTGTTGGCGCTGCAAGATGCTGGCGCACCCCTGCCCAAACCTCACAACAAATGGGAAAATCCTCGTACGGGAAGGGTCATTTCGACGAAGAACAAACCTGGTCCGATCCCCGGATTTATAGTCAACGCGGCTGCGACGTCACGCTATCTTGAAGAGCTCCCCGATTGGGCTTGGAATGTCATGGGAAAGTATGAGATCAGCACCATCGGACTAACTAAGGCTTTGGGCGTGTCCGAAGGCAAGCCTCTGGCTATGACCATGACGGTCCAGATGGATAATAATGCGAAGCACCAAAAAGCCGGGCGACAGCTCTGGGCTACGATCGAAGTTGGTGATTCACTTGCTCTCGCACGTTTTCGACCGAGTCCTACGCCTAATGGTTTATTAGAAGACTCCTTGGAAGTCTTCGAGAAAGCTTGCGTCCTGAAGCCGGGGGTATGGGTTGGCCCCAAGCCGCAAGGAACTCAAAACTGGGAGATGCGTTGGAGGGGGTTCTCGGACGCTAGCTTGCAGACGATGGCAGAGGATGCTATAGGGTCGGAAGTTATATTCACCAAAGATGACCAGGGGAAACTAATATTTAGAGGCAAGATGATAGTTAAAGACGAGAGCTTTCTCGTGGTGGGAACCTGTGTTGCGCCTACGGAAGAGAGGCGCCCCAGCGCTCCTACAGTGAACACCGAATGGGCAAAGTATCTCAAGGGGAAACCTGCTATAAAAATACGGAGGCATCCGGAACATATCATTGTCCTAGATAAATACTGTCAATCCACGCTAATATGACCAGCTTCGTGCTGGCGACTTAATATAAGTTAACTACGCTTATGATCACTTATACCATCGGTAAGTACCTTTATATTCTTATATATCCATCTACTGTCTCGAAAAGGCTACATCTAGTCAAGTATTAGATTAAGTTTCACTTCTTTAGAGATCTAAAGGCATATCCTATGCATATATAATCCTGGGGAGAAGAAGTTTAAATATCAGCTTACACTAATACTAATATCATCTCAATTTAATTAGTCGAGTCATAAAAAGCATCCGGCATTTTCGTACCTATAATTAGGTACTTGGTAGGTATTCACCTGTAACTATCGGATGTATAGATGAACAATAATGAAACGCTGATCACATAGTCTTCGTACAAGAGGTCCAGCTCAAGACTCCAATTACAATCATCAAAATAAAGACCATCTAGAATACGGGCGACAGACCGCCACGGTGTCATTATAGTCCGTTAATTAGCATTGTCGAATGCACAAAGAAGAAGAATGCATGTTGATTCTGCCTTGCCAAGGCGCCTCTACAGTTGAGCGTAGCTTTAGACAGAATTAGCGCAACGGCTCGCTTGAGGAAACGCTGCGAGTGGTTGGCTGGGCCAAGTCGGTTCTCAATCGGGAATCGGCTGAACAATAGTCTGTTACGTGTACGGGAAGCGATGCGGGCGAGACCAATCAGATGCGAGTCATCGACTTGGTGCGGCTGAAAGGACCCTACAGCTGCTAGGACAGGCACCTGACGGTGAGGTCTTTGCGACTCCTCGCGAGAACGACCTTGGTTCCTAGTTCCTTGGCTGAAGCCCGAGACTAAGTAGTATTTAGGCACAGATGCGGGCTGTGGGTGACCAAAAGACCCCTTGTATATGTCAAGGCTGATCTGGGCCAATGCGGGAGGGAGAGGGGAGTGGAGGGGAACCGTCTATAAAACTACCGGGCTTGCGCTCCCTCCCGAGAGGACAGTGCTGATGTTTCTCCAGAAGATCTGGTAGGCCTTGTAACTCCTGGGCCGAACAGTCCATCGCACGGCTTAGTATCCAACATCTCGAAAGCGACAATCCTCGAATAGGAGAGCCGAGGTCGACCAGAGAAACCGCTGCATAGTTACACGACAAATAACAGAATAATAGTCGAGATTTGGAGTAATCATCCAAATGAACGCAGCAGACGCAAATAAGAGAGGGGAGGTTATCATCCCAACCCCGACATGGTTCATAGCGCTTCGAGTCCTCCAAATCGTCTTAGCCCTCATCGCGGTCGCCTTGACGGGTTGGTGGATCCACGGGTTATACTATGACGAGCTCGGCTTTGTTATTGTCTGCGTAGGTTTCGACCTTTTATTTCCAAGACTTCCCCCTCCTTATATTCCTTTCCTTCTCGTGTTCTCGTCCTCGTCCTCTATCTCCATTCTTCCCAAGCGGATAGGTTCATAACTAATACTATCCTCTCAACGAACAGGGCTTATTCACCTGGATCATCGCCGTGTACGCCCTCTTGACCGAGAAGGTAGCGTCTTGCCGGCGCGCTTACAATACGTGGGCGGTCCTCGTGCTCGATGGGCTTATGATCGTGTTTTGGCTAGCAGCCATGGGTGCTACCGCGAACCGGCGGAGCAAATTCACCGTGCCCGTTAATGCCAGCTGCGTCAGCGACGGTAGTGCGATTAGCAGCGGCCATTGTACGGTATGGAAGCGCGCCGGTGTGGCCACGGATGGGGCTCTAGGCATTCTAAGCGGAATAGCTGGCGTCTGCGCCCTCGTAATGCTATTATTCGTCCCCACGTTCGCTTACGTGTGCCACTATTTCCGTCTTTCGTTTGCCGGCGCTTCAACCAACGACCCCGAGAAAGCCTCTGCTGCAGGCACTGCCGCCGCCGGAGTAAACCATACTGGCGCTGGCGTCCAGGGCGCTACAGAGCTGCAATCAGGAATTCCACCGCAGAACTATGCGGCGAACCAGTCACAACCGCTCTTGCATCAGCAACCTAATCAGCAATGGGCCCAGCAGACAGCATACCCTCCTCAGGCCGGCCAACCGCAGTATCAGCAGGGCCAGGCATATGATCCCTACGCACCGCAGAATGTCGGATATACTGGTACGACAGACGTATACCCTCAGCAAACCGGTCAGCCTGCGCAGCCATACAGCCCTCAGGGCACGCCCGCCCCTTATAACATGCAAGGCACGCCGACTCCGGGGCAGCCATACCAAGTACCTTACCAGCCAAATACGTAACAGTTGATGCTAACAAAACGCTTGCTTCTTAATGGGTGGATTTTATGAGCGATACGGTGTTGTGGCTTTGGTTTCTTATGGTGTATACGAGAATACTCAGATAGCACGTATCTAGCATATGCATGAGCATGATCGATCTGGCATAGATTTAATTTCTAAGGACGGCCTTTTAGCCCTAGAAAATAGGTACTGTACATAAATCCATGCCCATCATCGTTATCATTAACCATCGTAAACGAGCCCAAGATGTGATGTATGGTACTCCTCCGACGCCCTCTTGTAGATCGGGACAGATGTATTCTCATTGCAAGATCATTGAAGCCCAACGGCTAACGACGCTAGGTAAAGGCACCAAGTAGAATTTCTTCGCCTAGATCCCAGACATCTTCTTTCAACATCGGATGTTGGGATTGAGGGCGCATCTTGTGATATATGAGCTAAAGCCAACTACGCTTCCGCCGTGTCTGCCATAGCCTGCGGTAATAGGGCTTGAATCTAGCATGTCGTCGATCCACTTCTGGTAGCGCGGCTCGGCATCCAAAACGCTTCTGGCCATTCCCAGAGGGAATAAATATAGGCAAGCTTGGTCGTCGAGAGTGCCGCATTGCTCATGGTGCCGGCATTGCCAATCAAAAACGCGACAAATTTCAATGGCGGGGTCTCGGATGGAAAACACGGCGCCGGGCTGATTCAACGGCTCGAACGAGATGCTATGTGATAACGCCGGTGATTGTGGCGGCAGAGCTGACGAGGTAGCAGCATGTCGTGCGCATCCTTGTATAATGGATTTCGCCTGTAACGGTCTGACTTTCCATAGGAGAGTCATCAACCACATCAGGGCAGAATTATAGAGCATGATATCATTGGCGTGCGCAGAGCGATCGAACCGCAGGCGACCGAGTTCTTTCGAACTGCCGCTGGATTCCGAGTCTGTGGGAGATGGGGCATTTAATTGCCATTCGTATTTGTCTACCGAGACGTATTGGCCATATTCGTGTTGCCAGTTCCAGCGCCAGCGGAAAAGTTTCTCTAGCTGAACAACAATGCATTCACATAAACTGTTCTGGCAACTCAATCGCTTATCTGAGATGAGAGGAGGGGTCGTAGAGCCGTCCTCTGGACAATAACTCATGCTGTCGAGGTGGGTATTCTGTTCTAGCAAGCCTGGTATGGCGACCAAGATGTCAAGGAGCCGTGACTGCTGGGGCTTTGCATATGGGTCTAATGCGTATGGTATGTCTTGCCAGCGCGGATCTTCGAGGAATATTCTTCGTCTGGAAAATAGCGAGGCAATTAACTATAAGCTGTTAGAGACTCAATTCATGGGAGTCAAATCGAATTGCGTACTAGCGTGGCCCTGGCAGCCTCGAAGGCATTTCTTAGGGGCTGCTGTTGAAAAGCCCTTGGTCCACACAGCATTAATACTTTCTCGATCGCTTTTAGATGGAAGACCGCAGCAGTTCTATCTGTTTGGATTGCCTAGGTAGTATCATTAGACTGGAGGTCTTTAACTTGGGTTTGGCGACGACTTACCGAAACCATCATCAGGACGAGTATAGGTACCACTAGCCTTCGGTTGTCGTAGCCTGCTGCGTTATCTCTGCGAAGCTCCTCTGCTAGGATCCTCAGGCATCTTCCGTATTGGGCCGCTCCCTTGAGCTGGAGTTCTTGTATCCTATTATTTAGACCGAAGCTCAACTGAGAAAGGGCCGTGACGGCATCAAGAGAGAGCCCACCGAGTTTGCCCTCGGATGCTTGCTTGAGCCAAATAGTCCCGTAGGACCTCCACACGAAATTTCCAAATATGTGAGCAGTACACATATCTCTTTCGAAGACATCTGGACTAAGTTCCGGCGGCGGTACGAAACTTACAGGCACCGGCTGTACAATGCCTACGAACTCGGGCATATGCAACTGAGATACAGAAACCGGAGCCAGAGAGGTGTGTCGCCATTGTGTAGCTCTCTGATAGCCTAGGCATTCGAAACCTGCCTTGATGCAGCGGTAGCATTGGGGTTTTGCCTCATCTGTTTTCAGGTTCAACAACACGAAATTATCAGATAGTTAAAACCTATCCGATAGAGAGGATTTTTCCTTACCGCACTTGACTCTCCTCTTACGACACGTATTGCAGCCCTTACTCCTACCAGCTACTCCAACCATGATGTGCTACCGTAGGTATATGTGAGTTACCTATGTGAGTTACCTATGTGAGTTACCTAAGTAAGTTATCTAAGTGAGTTACCTAAGATGATGCAAGGTATGATCAAGTAGGCAGTCTCGCGGGCCAAGGCGGGGAAACGTCTGCGACTTTAGAACGTGCCGGGTTGCACTTTTTGAACCAGACGAATACCATGATATAGAGGCATAGCCGCAAGAGTGAAACATGTGAAATAGGCGTGGTAGTTCATATAAAGTTCCAGGCGTGGCCATTTATTAGAGAAGCGGCTGTGCCCATTTAATCGGGCACATTTCAGGAGATCTCGACAGAGTCGGACCTGAACTCCAATTCCGGTCAGGTAGGGTGAAGGGTGATGACAAAAATAGTCGAGCGAGAATGAGATGAGCCAATAGGTGAGCTGTCAGTGATTAGACCATCCAAACCCATTGCTACATCACGAGTGCGCTAGATCTGCAGCAAAAGGGTTGCATACGACGCTACATATGTACGTACCCCTGCCCCCGGTGCTGGATACATGTATGTATATAGTTGTGATACCGATACCGTTGGCCAGTCTATCGAATGAGGGCCGGCTTACTATTAACTCAGTCTTTGATACTGTATGATGGGCAACGTACCTAGTTTGGACTTTTCAAGGAGTAGTCAGTTATATCAGGCCGCCGACGATATTTTACTTACATACGTACCTATGTAAGGTAGGTAGGTCAGTGAGTTGGGTCTTTGTTCTGTTCCGAAAGAGGTATCCAAAGAGCAACAAGTGCCTATAGTTGTACCTATAGTTTAATGTAAAGAAGATTTCTATTTTTTATAGCATAATAATAGACACCCGCCTCAGGTTTCTGTCAAGGCCGGATAAGTCGAAAATACTTTTCTGTAAGGGATTCTTTGGGTAGCACAAGCCGTAATTTGACGCGCATCGCTGATTTTTCCCTCCCAGGGATGAGTGCACCTGAGGTATAAGTCGAAGGATAAGAATACCTTGGAAACTCTCTGCATGTAGGGCACCTAATGGAACTTTTGTAAATGTTAAACCAATCATATAAGGATAGGTTAAGATCATATATGTACCTAGGTAGGTTAAATATGTAGCGCATAGGGCTGGACGTTTCGGCCCCTGATCCACTACCTCGTGGTGTTCCCATTTAGCATTTACACTAGACTACTACCTACATGTACCTAAGGTTAAGTAGCCTTAGGTAACCTTAGGTATCTGTTAGTACCTAAGTATATAACCTTTCTAGGATGTAGTCCAGGTCCACCCCCACAATGATTATGCCGGTCTCCGACAAGAACTGCTATAGGTAATACATGCAAGCAGACAAGATACATGTACCTTACCTTGTACATTATGTACATGTATGTTGTAGGTCAGCATAAAGTTGGCATAACCTTGCGTACATACCTAACCTAGGTATGTACCTAATGCATCCTGCTGCAGCGTTTCTCTCTAGTTCTGTACTTCGTACGACTATGTACAACGCTGAAAGACCGCGTGATTCCTCACTTACCACCAAAACTTTCAGCTGAACTATTCTGTACGACACTATAATATATATTTCAGGGGCAACTTCCATCTGCTGTAACCCTCGGGGGATGTTCGAGATGCAGATGGTGGCTTATGTGTTACTTGGTAATCCTCCGAAGGATTCTTGATCGTTGACAGCTCGTTCTCTTACATAGGTATGGTTGCGATCGTCGATGGAACACGCCGCTTAAAATCGGGTTCCCGTCTACCCCCAAAGGACAATGAGGATAGCGAGGATAGCGAGGATGACAACATAGCCGATGGCAACATAGCCGACGACAACATAGCCCAAACAGCGCTGCTACTGTAGGGCTACGTAAAGACATCCATAACCCATAACCCATAACTACCTACATAGGTAATAGAACTGACAAGATAAATAATAAAACTCACAATCTTATTATCGTATTTATTATATGCGTTTGGACCGCTTGATGATTCATCGATTGCCGTGTCGTCCAATCGTCTTCATCGTCTTAACTGATCGCCGTCGAGCCAAGCTACCTACCAAGCCTTTATTTTTTTCCAAGGCCCTGGATACGAGATGGAGAAGGAAAAGACGCGTTGGTTCGAATCAGCTCAGCCCACTCGCGCCGCCGGGTCCTTGTCGAGGTGGTCTCACAAGTCCGTATTAAAAGCCTTTGTAAGCCCGAAAGCTGAATGCACAAATTGCAACCTCGACATTACACTCGACATTACACAACAATAGCATTCGTTACTCGAAAGCAGTCTATTATATACTCTCAACGCCGCTCTAGAAATCATCACAACCCCGAATACCGAAAATGTCTTCATCTGCACCCACCCCAACGCCGTCCTCGACTTCGAGTTGCGGCGTGCAGCTCTACATCATCCCGGTGAAGGACGCGGCGTGCGCCGTACCTGCAACGGGCAACAACACCGAAATCATGGGCTCGTGCTGTGGTGCCGCCGACATAGTCTCTTACTATGACGGATGCGGACTCTACTGCCTCGCCGCGGGCCAGACCGTTGGCAGCCTTTCCGATTGTATACGCGAGAAGGGCACCTATCCCGGGGATATCTTCTGTAACCAGAACGCCACGGCTACGGCTACCGATACGGGGGCGCCTCTGCCCACCTCGGCCGGCGCTAGCATCGTCGCCACTCCTAGCAGCGGCTCCACGCCGACCCAGAGCGACGGCGACAGCAGCCCGAGCTCCACTGAATCTCCCGCCGCCGCCGCCGGCCTCCGATCCGAATACACTACCGTGACCACCCTAGGTTGTGCAATCGCAGCCCTGCTCTTCTCCGCAACGGCCTTCGGCACCCTGCAGCTATAGATTATTAATAAATGGAGTTGGATGTTTTTCCCCCGGACATAACTAATGGGAGCGTCACGTATATACCCCAGGTTTACCTTGGGATATTATATTATGGTCAATATTATGTCAAATACGAGTAGAGCTTTTTTCCTGTTTGGGAGACATGCCTTGCTACCTTGTGCGAATTTTGTCTGGCTTATAGAAAAAAAAATAAAGTATGGAATAAAATAAACGACATAGAAGTAGGAATCTTATTAAAAAGTATAAGAGGTAGCTTAGGGGTAAATTCAAGGGTAGATCTATTGGGTTCGATTCTGTTTATATTAACATTCACTATATATAAAGTTTATCAAAGGCTACATTTAACAATGCCTAATCTAATACTCTCGCGCTTAGGACATAACTTGTATATAATTGAAAAGATATTATTATATGGTGCGATGCGCTTTTATGTTACCCGGGTGGTGACCTCTTGTATATATACCCCCATCACGGTTAGATTCCAACATACTACACTTCATACTACGCTTCGGATTTACAACGTCTAGGTTTATCTTACTAGGGCTATGGCTAGTCGTAAGGGGGAGTTTGCCTTAGCATTCGTAGCCTAATATGTAATATAGCATTCCAGCTTGATGGTGTGAGATTAATACCGATAGTTAGAATCATCTTTGCTTCGGTCAAAAACTTGATACTCCAAGTTCACCTCATCTAGTGTAAAGCTGCATCGTGTTGTTCAAGGGAAAATATATGCTGCATCCATTACAAATCACGGACTGTCAAGAATTCTTGTGACGTTTATAATATATTTTATTATTATACAGAATCCCATTTTGTTCCCATCGAGCCTGTAAACACCATGACCTCGCGCGTGCTCTACTAAAAGCAAACATGCTAAAAGGCCCCAACTTGAAGTCACCCCTCAAACCAATACGATAGTGCAAAGAGATGGGCAAGTTGCTTCGACCACGCAGTCTAGAGTATTCACGCGACTCTATTGCCGTCTCAACTGAAATAAAAGGTCGAATAGCTACAATTAAAGATAAGAGCACAACTATACGTTGCTGTGGCGGGCTCGCTTGCGTGCGCTCCCTGATGCCGGATGCAGCTTGTCGTTCCGCTCTCGCTTGAGCTTCTCGTCCAACACGCGAGCTAAAATGGGTTAAGTTCACGATCTCCCTCGTACAGGTATCTGAGCAACTCGGAAACTTACTGAGCACATCGTAACCGAACTGGGGAAATTCCAAGCATAGCGAGCGGAATTCGTCCTCTGCCTCCGCACGTAGCGTGTGGCTGCGGGTGGCCCAGAAGTTGGCCACGGGAGCGCGGACCGTCGTATCTTCCTTGTTGGTGTATTGGTAAATGTAACGGGCATATGTGATCTCCCCCTTCGCCGTGGAGTTTACGCAGTGAATCTTGCTGCTTGCGAGGCTCTTCAGCTTGTCCATCCCGAACTTCTCGGCCAGGGTATACACGCGCGCATGCTTCAAGAGCTGCTCACCGGTCTCGTCGACGGTGGGGATAGACGGGTCTTGTTCTAGTAGTCGCTGACCAGGAAGCTTCCTGGGGAAGTAGTCGCCGGTGTAGAGGAATTCTAGGAAACAGCCGACGGCGTCTAGCTCCTCGGTCGCGAGCTCTATTTGTCGCGGCTACAGAAAGGTATTAGAAGATGGTAAGATAGGGAGTTATAATAGCTAGCAGGGTGGTATTAGAGGGACGTACGCTTCCATCGTCAGTGAAGGCCGCACAGGCATCGGAGAAGAATGGGCTTTGAGTAAGGAGGGCCTGGTGAGCAGCGAGGATAGTCTCCGTTTCGCCATTGCCGACAACCAGAGTCACGACAGGACTAGTAAGATAACTTATAAACCTGGTACGCGGTTCGATATCAGCACCCCCTGCGAAGGGTAGGTCTCCGCTACTGTTTCTGACAACGGTCCCCTCAGCCTCGTCACCCTCGGCCATATCGATGTCGGCGCCCGGGTTGCCTTGCTGCTCCTCAACGACATCCTCGGCAAGTTCCTCGTCCATATTCGTAGTCAGGTATGAATGTGTTTGGATACGCGATAGGTGTATGCACTGTAACTAATGCTGATCAATGAATGTTTTTGGTTTTGCTGTAAGCGTGGATTATAGATTGTAGATTGTAGATTGCGGCCAAGCAATTGGAGTATGGGACGTAGATAAATTAAGATAAAATCAATGAATGGCAAGGTAGACAAGAATTGATTAGCAATTCTGAACGAGAGTATGTGGTAATTTGATCCGTGATCTGTATGTATGTGAGCACGAGATGCGGCTAAGAAAAGAATATTAAGAAAAGAATATTGTCGCGGTTCCCAGCGGCGCAAATCGATTGAAGACCGCTCTAAAGAGCTACAAGCTAGGGGTAGGTGGGATAGTGTGATTGGAGCTTTGCTCTTGCATGGTTGGCCGGGAGAAAAGTCGAGTGGTTACCTAGGTACGTACATAGCCCGCCATATCGCCTTCTAATTGGACAGAGCTAGAGTTTACGGGCTGTAGCATCGCAGCTTGCCGTACATAAGGGACCTTAGGTACATGTACATGCTTAGGTACCCAGGTACATAACATCTCTAGGTTAGAATGATGAGGTCCTTATGTCCATTCACCTATAATTATTCCCAAAGGCTTTACACCATTTGACAAACTACATCAATTCGACAAGATAGTTCTAATAAACTCATTAAAAAGCCTCTTACGACCACCTACTTTAACGCAACACGGCTCATGGGCGTCGGTTTCAACATCATGTAATTAGTGAATATAATATCACTAAGATATCTAATATGTACAAAGAAATCCCACTGTCCCTCTAAAAAAAAAATAATACACCCGACGACAAGGTTAGTAAAATAGTAAGGCGTCGGCTACAGCGCGAGAAAAATTTATATAGCTCTAAGAGTCTTCATACCAGAACATACCAGAATGGCTTTGCGGACGAAAACAGATAAAAGATAGTTCTCTTTTACGTCTGGGACAACGGTATTAACAGAGACTTGTGGCTGGGTTATTAATTCTTTGTGCGAATTGACCGTAAACGTCTTGCTTTATCTTAAGAAGCGAGAAAGTATCAATTCTATCCTTTTTCCTGTAGGTTCGTATATCTACCATAAGCGCTTATTGTTTCATAACCCATCCAGCAATGTTCCATGTATTTTATCTCGAGCTCCGAGTCACGATCTGGTTACCCTGCTCAACCCTTCCACTTACACCGTAACGTTTGCTTGATAAAATGGCAGAACCGCAATTAGCACAAGTCCCTCCTCTCCCACATGGGCAAAGGCATCATTTATTTGGGGCTACCGAAGTTCATAGGAACTTGAACGAATTAAAACTGAACTTCAATAACGTGGTGTCGAAATGGAAATATGAGGGACTCGAAAGCTTCAGTTTAGGGAATATAGTTGTTCGCTTAGGAGTTAAGGAAGGTCAAATAACTAAGACTCGGTATCGTAGACTAGCCATAAAGCGAGCCCTCACTGACAACGCCGAGGACACGCTGAGGAACGAGATCGAAACGATCCAGGTCCGAGGTCTATATTGTTTCGAATGTAAAGTTCGCGATGCTAACAACAAACTAGGCTATGCACCCCGCAGAACACATCATACACCCAATAGTTACATGCGAATACCCGCCTCCGCCAGGACAGGCTGGAGGTGCGGGAGGTGCGGGAGGTGGTGGTCCTGCTGAGAATGCAGCTGATGAGCTTAGTCGACTGTTTCGACAGGTCAGCGTAAAAGCCAAGGAAGCAATTAGGGATCCTCATATCCCTTCTCGGCTGAGAGGGAGGCGGCAAGATCATAGAATGACTACTAGAAGGGTCGTTAAGGAATTAAACTTGGCGGCGCTAAATGACTACCCATATATGATATCGGAGTATCTCGAGAATGGCAATCTGGACAGGTTGTTACATAGAATCTCATATCATCAAGTTCCCATCCCGAATCGGGTCCTCTGGTCTATAGCCCTCTGTAGTATGTCTCCTGTTTCCTTTTACTTTTAATCCTAGCACTTAATTTAGGTACTCATGCTAACCCCCCCAAAGTGTTGAGGGCTTGTATAGGAATGGCATACGGGAGGCCTTCACGGGAGGATCTCGTAGCCGGTATCAGGGGAGAAATTCCAGAACCAAGACTAGAAACTATTCCACCGGGTGACGCCGGTCCGAGAGGCTTAGTTCATGGACGTATCGAGAGCAAGAATCTTATATTCGGTACCCCTGACAATTTCCGGGAACATAGCTTCGTGGCCCCTCTTAAACTCGCCGGTTTCTCGCAAGCACACATGATCGAGGATGCTCGTGGCCCAAAAGAAAATCTGTTAGGGATGGGAAAAGTAAGCGAATACTTCGGGTGCTCTTAATAATACAAGGCGATATGCTAACCTTGTTTTCCCGCAGATGCTCTTCATCTTAGCCATGAACGACTACAACCAAGAAATTCTCCATGACTCTATGGTACAGCCAACAATCCAGAATGGAATTTGGACGTACGCAACCTTACTATATGAAGACAATCCTAATATTGACCTGGATCTAAAAAATTTAATCGGATACTGGATGAACTGCGACCCTAACTTGATGGTTAACGTACGGCATGTACTCCCGCTAGTCGAAAAGGCTGTCGAGGAAAGGGGCGAGGCGTTTTATCCCGGAGTACATCGAGAGACGGACGCCTCTGTTAGAGCCTTCCTACAGCTCATGATATACGATGCAGCTCAAGAACCACCAATGCTGGTAGCACATATGGAAGAAGTACCACCATTCCCGCTACCAGCATTTTTTGATCATCCTGGTGACGGCGACGGGCCTGCTGAAGAAGATATGTTAGACGGACCCGCTGACGAAGACGACGATTTCTTCGAGGTCCCTCCAGAATTTCATGCTCCGGAAGACTTTCCCGATCCACCAATAAAGCACCCTGTAGGTGGTTTGTTTCCGCCGCATGACCTCCCTGTTCCACCGCCAGAAAATAAGATACCGCCGCTGGATCTTGCCAACGACGGCGAGGACGCTCCCGCCAACGAGGAACAACCTAAACAACCTCATGACCCTCTTTACGACGATTAGATTCCACTATGTATTGCTGCGCTATTTCTAGAATGGGTAATCGGTGCCAGTCCCTGGTTAGGTAGTCCTGGAGTATTTATGGGTAGTTTACAACTCTCCAAAGGTAGACCATCTAGAAAGTACCTAAAGGTATATTATAGGATAACCTAGGTAGTGATATAATCTACCCTGTAATATAATGTACTTATTACACTAGTATAGATATTTATCCTTTATCGTGGCCTTAGTAGCCATTTTTAATTTCCTAGAGATTCTCTCGTCCATTTTGCTCGACGTACATTCATCGCCCTTCTAGGATTAAGTCAAGTTTATTTAATCGAATTTTCTTTACTCTGGAATTCTTAAAGTATACGTGGTATAGAAATGTTGAATGCTAGGTATCCCTTTAGTTGGGTTGAAGTACCGAGTCCATTGTATGTCACCATGGGTTGAAAGAGCCTAGAAATTCATGCTTAGCTTGCGCTTATCTTGATTGGTACCTATTATGCTGGATATAGGGGTTACTTGATATGGGCTGTTTACTATGAGCGCATCGGTTAATATGTTTTGTTTCTCGCCGAGATGTTTTATCTTTGCTTTAGGGCTTCCTAGGTACTTTGTAGAAACTTCTATACCTACCGCTCGTTATTGGAACAGACAGGGTAGAATGCGATAGCACGAGCTAGTGGCTTCGAAGGACACTCAAATATCCGAGCCGGCGAGTTGAATGAGCGATACTAACGAATACTGGTTTTTATGTAGCTCATTGTTATGAAGTTTGAGTGTCTGCTCTTATGTCTTAACTATAATTACAGAGCAAATATTGATGGAGAAGAGCAGCGTTCTCGTTGTGTCAAGTTTGTGAGAACACCATGCTCTGTGGATGAGCCGAGTAGCCCCTCGAAAAGCGAATTTACAACTTTAAGAAAGGCCGTATCAGACTTTTGTCGTTGGATACCTCGAGGATATAGTATAAACTCGACGGTCACGGTTCATGCTTATGATTAGCTTAACCAAGTAAGTGTCCTTTCCCCTGCTCACGTAGAACCGTTTGTACAGTTTCGAGAACCGTGGCATGAAGCGCCTTAGGGGCAGCAACGAAGCCATGGTTGGCGCTCATATTCCTTCCCACCCCAAGATCAATAGGTTTCCCATCAATATCTGTAATCTTACCACCAACCTCTTCAAATAGGAGCACTTTAGGCAGCTGGAGTTAGTGATCGCTTCTGTGGTTGCGAATTTTGGGGGACTGAGTATGCCTCGAGGTTGATAAGACCTTTTAAACCGCTAGGCAAAGGAATATTGATTCCAAGGATATGTTAAGGAAGGGGGAAAGGGGAACCTTTGATGTTAGATTAGGTACGTACTGGCTCCTGCGTGATCCCATATTTTCCCCGTCCGACTCCGCTGCTTGTAAACCCAGATAGTCATATTTGCGAGCCCGATACCAAGAGTTACCCATCGAAGAACCCATGCGAGCAAGTCGCAGCCTCTGTTTTCAATATTTAGCTTGTCCATAACCAGCTGGTGGGCGTCGTCTACCCCCGAGTCCAACATGTTATAGCACGATACCGGCCGCAAGGCCTGAGATGATTCGGCTTCAGCGTGCGGCTCGATTCTACGAATTTGAGCTTCGTCGGGCGACGACGATGCTACCAACGCGCGAGTATAGGTGCCATGGCCTTTCACGGCGAACACGATGCATCCCCGCCCCGTTGGGTCTACGGAAGTATTTGTGATGGGGGCCATAGCATTGGCAGAAATGGTAGGACAACCAACGACGCTGAGGACTTGGCTGCTTCCTTGTAATAACGCGACGTTTATCGCGTATGCCTCGCGTCGGACAAACGTTTTTGTGCCGTCGATCGGATCAAAAACCCAGACTCGCCCGGCTTGCGAGCCGCCAGGTTCGCCAAATCCGCACCAATCGATCATCTCGCACATTTGGTCGGGGGTCTCTGGTAGCTTACAAAGAGACTTTGCCTGATCGTCCTCGAGTCTTTGAAGTAACCTCCAAACCCGGTCTAGCAAAACGGGGTTGGCCCGCAAATCTGCTGCCGACTCCTCCCCGACGAATTTATCGTCGGGGAAAGCATGATGAACAGTGGCGGTCAATAATGCTTGAATGGCAAAGTCGGCTACCGTGACAGGACTAAGGTCATCTTTCTCGATGACTCCTTTGTCTTCGACTGAGATGACGGCCTGGCTGAGTTTAGCTGCTGATTGGATCGCTGCAATGGCAACTCTCAACTCTTTAGCATATGGGCTATCCATTTTTCTTTTTCTTTTATTCTTCTAGGGGCAATAAGAATTGTGTTAGAATCTCTCCTTAATGCCGATCAATTACATCTAAAATGTAATACATGTGATGATGTAACCAGGTGGTATATGTTTACAGCTAGGATTTGATTCAGGATTGTGCGCTCGTAACTCCGCCAAGCCGAGCGGGAATCGAATGAATCCCACTCCACTAATCTACGGATTCATGTAGATCTAATTGTACATGGTTACATAATACATTTTAATTCGCTCATCACCTGAACAATGAGGTGAGGCTCAAGTCAAGGAATTGTTTTGCCGGATATAATCACCGCCGAGCTTACGTTCCCGTCTTTGATCAATACATTTGGTTAGGAGGTATATATCATTATCAAGATCCTTTCAGGTACGTGCTATGTACAGTTCTATACAAATCACTAGGTTAAGAGGTAGTTGACTTTCTAAGCTGCCCGTAGTTTAAAAACGGTTGGCTATTAAAAAGGCAAGGCATGTCGGAATGTTTATGGCGTCAATAACCTGTTAAGTATCAAAGAGATGATATGTAAATGCCGGGTAACCCGTTTTTTTTTTATTCCAATAGGTCACACGTCTAAGCCCGGATCCGTATGATCCTACAACGGCTTTGCCCTATATATGGAAATATGGAAATATGGAACTAACACAAAGTCCTACACCACCTCTAAGTTAGAAACCAACCAATCACATTTACAAAAAACCGCCCTACATAGTAAGACCACCACGTAGCGCCCGAGCATCCCGAAGCTACCCACCCCACCCACCGTTCAGCTTCTCGGCCAGCCTTCGGGCTCCGGCCAACTTGTGCATATGTATGTATGTACTCCATCTTATCGAAGACCCCCAAGCCCCCCGCTCAGCCCTACATACTATTTCTTTCGTTTGATTCCTGGTTGTTCAATTTCTCTCGCTTGCTTGTATCCGCCTCTTCCTCGCTTCGAGAGTATAATATGTGACGAAAGAGTCTTCCTCCACCAAGGTCGGAGAAGACGAAGATGGCCAAACCAAGAAAACAACCTTCATCCTTTCGACGTTCGCTCCTCGGTTTTCTCCAGGCGATATTTGCCGCTGCTGTATTTGCTATATTTGTCATTGTCTGGTTAGTACAGGGAGGGACGATTCCCCTCCCCCAATGGGCAAAATCATGGAACGGCGTCTCGCCTGAACTGCAAAGGACTTATGCCGCTGCTCTTGTGCCAGCGGTATGCATTCTAGCGGTGCTCTTCATCGGTGCTGGAATCATCCTTATGACGAGAGAGCAGAGGCAAGACAGGAATAGTGCTGTCTAGAGGACTCGCTACCGCTACCTATGCCGAAGATGGGGGACAAGTCGACCGAAACCAAGTTGTCCACACGTGAGATGCGTCTCGAGGTGTAAGCGCCACATTCTCGCGAGCATCGTGTGACCACGAAACTCCGAAGAAAGTCCTAGCAGGCAATCCAGCCATCGATCACGGATTACTGTGGGCCACTATAGGAGCCTCCGTTATAACTGGGAGGGCTCGGGATCGTCTTCTCCGGGTTTATGTCCAAGAGTACTCGGCCTTTACTGACGAAACAACCTTGGAATGAATTTAAATGTCCGATTTACGACCTCGCCCCCTATTATCAATTATATAGCTCGGAAACGAGCAAGTCCTTCTCGGCGCATTATTTGGGCTCCTTTTACGAAACCGAATATCGGGCAAGCGTTTCATGCGAATATATACCGCTGCTACATACCAGCTCACATCAATGTGTACATCCATCTACCCGGTATTTAAACATACCTACACACCTTCGTGGGAAAGGGGTATCTCCTCTATCGGGACCCCTTAGCCAGTGATGACGCAGTACTAGATTCAATTTTGGTACACGACTATGCAGTTTATGATTGGGAGGAGCAGTTGCCATATGTCCTTTTTAAAGGAGAAGAATATTTCCGCATTTTATTACTTTGAGCATTTATGTGTTTATGATGCATTTTGGGTGCTTTGGTACGGCGTTTTTGGATGTGCATAAGACTGGGGAGCGAATGGTTTCGAGTTCGGAAGTATGGCAACTTGCAAGCCAGGGAGTACAGGGATGATACCATAGAGTTTATATATATTAGGTATTTAGTTCTGCCAATTCTACATGTTCTATGATCCGAGACTACCTAATAGCACTGAGATACCCAGGTAGTTAAGAAGAGTATCTCGTGGCTTCTGGAGGGGGCGCCTTGAGCTTCGGGTGACTGTCGTCTACCGCTAGGTTTATGCCTGGAGAAATTACATAGAGGGCATTTAGAACGCCATATTTCTATTTCAATTAGGGGCCATAAATCACCCAGGGCTGGCTGTATGGTTTTCTAGTATCCAGATACAGATGTCCTTGGGGGGGGGGAGGTTATTGGAAATGTAGTTGATATGTCTCACTTGAGGATGAGGAGGGATAAGTCAGGCGTAAGCAAATAGTTCATACTATGGACTTTTAATAAATTCAGCTGCCCTCTCGGATATGGCGTAAAGCGTAGCAGTTAAATGGCCGCTAATCTGCATTGGCAGCACGGACGCGTCGACAACACGAACATTAGATGTCCCGTATACCTTGAACTTGGGGTCAACGACCCCTCCAAGCTCGCGGGACATCATCGAGGCTGACCCGACAGGATGGTGATTAGGGGTTACTATCAAGTGCGGTCAGTTTGGCACCACCGGAGTGTCCCATCTGTCAGTGCGACATTCTTACCAGTGCTTGCAATGAAAGTCGCCCATTGAGCATCAGTAGCATTACGAGGCAGTGCTTCGTCTCCAGGGACTAAATTACCAGTTACAACATCGCCAATCGGGTCTGTATACCAGAGATTTTGCGAGAGCCGCCCAAGCTCGGTTTGGACCGTGAGATCGAAATCGATTAAGAAGTACTCCGGGTCGATTGCGGGATCGCTGGCCTCGGTTGATCTGAGGTGGACATTACCTCGAGAGAAAGGCAACAAAGGCCAAAATGCTGATATGAGGATATTTCCGGAAGCCGAGGTTAGGGTTTCAGCAATTGTAACATAGTCCTTGAAGATCAGATTGTGTTGTATGCGGAATATTTCTTCTAATTGGTGAGCATCGATGGCTCTGTTATTAATATCCGAGACCTTTTGGGCCCATTCGGATAGCTTGGTAGATGTCGCCTCTGCTACTACGGAAGTCTGCTTGCCGAATAGGTCTTGAGCTGTGGCAAACGTTGCGTATGGTATAGTTCCTGTTAGGTTGATATTTGAGGTGTACTCGAGGGCCACGTTGGGCTGGTCCTGCAAATTCTCACCCACTCCGGGGAGGTTGATCTTTGTTTCTATGCCGTGCTCTTTAAGGATACTAGTTATGTCAATATGTGTATATGGCTGGCTAACGCCTCAACTTACTTCGGATTTCCAACACCGGAGCGTTCAAGGATTAGAGGACTCCTTAAAGACCCGGCGGACAGTACGACATCTTTCGCTGCGTTTATAACGACCGTTTGACCGGTAGGGTCCAGGTATTCAACGCCATCTGCTAAGAGCGCGTTGCCATCTGTTAATGAATTTGCCCAAGTTACTTTCGTCACTGTCCCTTTAATGATCTTGAGGTTAGGTCTCTGCTCAATAGGATAGTAGAACGCTCGAGCGGCGTCTTCTCGAATGTTTGCGTCCCTGTCTAATGTCTGTGGCCAAACATCAAACCCGCGTGTTTCACCACCATTGACGTCTAAGTTTAGGGGGTAACCCAAACTTTCCCAAGCTTGTTGAGCGAGCTCGTGGAAGGATCCGTTAAGAAGTCTGAATGGAAATCCCGTTTTCACCAATCCATCCTTACCATGATATTCTGCATTGAAAGTGGCGCCAGCGGCCTGCTGGACTGTAGTGGGGGGAGAGAACTGTTCGACCTGTTTGAAATAAGGATATAACGTGTCCCAATCCCAGCCGTCGTTCCCGAGAGATTTCCATGCGTCAAACTCGGCTTTGTCGCCTCGGATGTAAGTCATACCTAGAGTCCTAGACTATCAGCGAGTTCGACCAAGGAATCAGACCGTATTAAACCCACCATTGATTGTACTAGTCCCTCCAATGGCCTTGCCAGCATGGAAAGGGATTGATTTATTATCAGCTCCCGGCTGTGGCGTCGTAGCATATTGCCAATCGATCTCAGTATTCAAGGCGCGGAGGAACGCGCCAACATCTGTGACATTAGGATTGTTGCGAACGTCATCACCCGGTTCGACAATTGCGACTTGGATATTCGGGTCTTCTGATAATCGATTTGCTAGCACAAGTCCGCACGTACCGGCGCCTGCGATCACGTAGTCAAAGGTTTCGCATTTTGCCTTGGCACCAAGAGCGACGAATATTAGAGGAATAGCTAGTTTCATTGCCGATGGAAAACTCTCATAAGATAGGATCTATCTGAACTATGAGAAGACTATGCTAAGTTAGACTTTCTGAAATGCGGACGTCAAACTTATAAAATAACACCGCATCGGACATGTGGATTCTTTCGAGCCATGCTGGCTGACAAGAAATATTACCACGGACCGAATGGCCGCATCTGATTACTGTTCCAGGGCATGATAAAGCTGAATTCCCAGGTATTTTCAGCACCATCGCATATCATTCGCCGCCTTAGATCGTCGAGTCTAGGGGGTGATCCGGGCTTGTCTTGATGGGATTGCGGGGAAGTTGACTATTTATTGCGTAACATTCTCCTTGTTTTCCAGTGAATCGGTTTAGATGCAACGCCGTGTAGGGCTGACAAGCTAGAATGCAACTATTCTCTGTGAATTTGAGCTTTTGAAGCTGCGAGCAATTATACGTGGAGGGAGAAGGGATTCGGGTCATAATAGCCAAGGCTTTCCCGTATGCTACAGCCATGGCTACACGGCTTTCCTTAATCGATTGCTGATAGTGGATGGCTCTGCTAAACTTCCAAAGGTTTCTTCGTCATCTTATAATCTCACTATGAGTCTTTCCATTTGTATCATGTATGTCCCAACTTACATTCCAACAACATCTAATATAACGAGGGGATATTTACATACCTAGGTATGTAGTAGTACGAGTCAAGATATGACATGAAGTTCTTGGTTCGTACGACTCTGAAACAATCATCATGCTTCATACGCGGTCCTCTCCAAGTTGAGAGTAGCCCGACTTAGCACATAAGCAACATCTACCGCGTATCTCCGGTGAGGTATTGAAAGGAAAATGATAAAAGATAAGAGAGAAAAAGAGCCGGGTCGCGTTATTGCTTATTTGACTCCGGGAATGCCTAGATCATGTCGATAGCGTTGGTCCTGGCTTTGACGAAGTGGTCCGCGCCTAAAGATGCCCAGATATTCGATGCTGGTGCCCGCAGATCCGAAACGCAGCGATTGCAACCCTCGTCAGTCCGCAATCAAAGCCTGCTATCCCCAGTAGTGTTCGGTATATGTAGGTAGGTAGCTAACCCAGAAAGGTCACAGGCCAAGTTGCACTATGTGTTAGCTCGTGGTGATACGATTGCAACGACTCACTAACGAAGCCATGGCGGTAGATCTTGCGGTGATAGGCAGGTGATGCTCGTGCAGCATTGTCGATCTGCCGCCTGACGAGCTGAGCCACCCGCCCAATCACACTGCTAAACCCGTTGTCGTGCCGCATTAACGCGACCACCTGCGGTCCCGGTTTCCCCTTTCATATAATACCATGTCTCTCATCCCGGACGGGGGCTTTCGCAGAGATCCAGCTGAGGAGCCAAGCTCGCTCGATCTTGCTAACGGGTAGTGCGAGGGAGATATAGCATATATCTACGTTCCTATCAGGCGTGTGAGATCCGAAAGGGGAAGGCAGGTATACACCCCCCTGTCACGATGCGTTCGGATCTACGTTACGCAACCTGTTTCCCATCCATGCTGGACGGTCTTGTTCGATGTCGCGCAGGGCTAGTAACACCGAATTGTTGCATCAAGAGCTCAGATGGGGTTTCTTGTCCAATAGTTTAACCCATTTCTCTCGTCCAAGGTCTTGGATTAGATATTCGCACGCTGACCTGAGCTCATGTGTATCGTTGAGTCTCTGTTATAAGTAGTAGGCAAGATGCTACCATCGACATGTCACTGGCATTTACTCTTAGCCCTGCAGGCCAAAGCTGCTATCATCTCCGTCTCTCGACCGACCAAGTTGTACTCGATTACCGCCCGTCATGTTTGGCTCTAAGGTATGTCAACGGCAATGAGTTACTACCCGAATCCCTCATGCATCATCGTATTAGGCAGGATCGCTCATGAGCATTCTCTATTAGATCCTCCCTGCCATCCTCCTGGCTATCGTAAACGTATCGGCCCTTGCAGTAGAGAAGGTTGCCATAAGACAAGATCAGACTTGCGTGGCTACGTGCGGCAAGGTTTGTTACTGGCAGGAAGATATCGATGAAGCCGTAAAGCAGGGATATTCTTTACACCAGTCCGGCCAGACCGTTGGTACGTCAGATACTTATTTACTAATTATTATGTTTGTCTTATATCTCTAACCTCCTATTCCTATATAACAGGTTCGAACGACTATCCTCACCAGTACAATAACCGTGAGGGTTTTGACTTCCCCGGGCAGGCCCCTTACTATGAATTCCCTATCCTAAGCAGCTTCGACCCTTATGACGGAGGCAGCCCCGGCGCGGACCGTGTCGTTTTCAATGAGGCTGGCGACTACCAAGGCGCTATTACGCACACCGGAGCAAGCGGTAATAACTTCGTGGAGTGCACCTAAGTGCGCGCCGTCCAAGTTGATGGGAGCGGGGTCCACTTTGGTCCAATGCTGAATTGTGTATACAGGAGGTATTTAAGCATGTCAGCATCTTATTTGTTCAATATGATGGCACATGCCCTGTACCATACCCTCCATAATTAGGATTTATGCAGTAGGAATTATATTCGAAGAATCGTACGAAATCAACCAGAAGTGTTCCATAATTGTGATTTACTCAACCGAGAGACAGCGAGAAGCTGGATAGAACAGAAAATGTCGGATTACAAGTGTGTTGCCGCACCACATCAAGGTTAAGGACATACTTCAACATATTGTCTTCAGCTGTATTCTTAATTAGGCCCTTTAGCTATGCAGGGATATTCACCAGTAGTAGAAAATGCTTAACAGAAATGTGGTATCAATAGTACATCATATTTAACATCATAGCCGCCTGTAACTACACTCCCATCTAATAGCAAAGCCAATAGCAAAGCCGGAAGTTGTTGCAGACGCCAAAGACATAGCAGCTAGCTGTTATGCTTCCCTTTTTAACGGCACCCGCCGGCCAGATATCGACACAGATAACTCGTAATACACATGCCCGTTAGCAGAGAAACCTCCAAGCAAACAGAGAGGGCTTATTGTTTTTGCGAGATCATCATCTCTTCATTATCGGCAATAGGCGCGGGGCGGTTAACGGATTTGTTCAGCTCGTTCTCGCCGACGACGCTAGCGGTACCCTCGAGCTGAAGGTGGTAGTCCTTGTTCTGGCTGAGGACATACTCTTCCTTATCAATGTGTCGGAAAGTAAAATAGAAGACGATGGTGAGGACACCACCGGCGATGGCCGGGCCGCCGAAATCCCACGTCAAGTACGGGTCGGTAATGACGGAAGAGCAAGCTAAACCGATGGCGTAGGCCACGGCCGTGTTAAACAAATTCAGAGCAGATACCAGACCACGCATATTAACAGGAGCACGCGAATATGCGATACCGTAGGCGGGCACATTGACGAACAGCTCCGAAATACCACCAATGGCAAATGGGATAGCCATCCACCAGATGCTGATAGGGGCCACTCTAGTACCGATCTTACAGTCGCTAGAACCGTACTCGCCGCAGGGAGACTGCTGGTACGCGTAGTAGTTCAAGATAGCATAACCAGCACCACCCACCGACGACATGGCGAGCCCGGTGGTAATACGGGCAACCGGGCCATAATGAATGTTTAGCTTCCGTAGAAGAGGATACAAGCCGTAGTTCAAGACCGGCGCCATAGCAATGATACTAAGCGAGTTAAAGTTGTTAATAACGTCGTTAGGAACACCGTTGGTTGTCAACATGGTTGACAGGAAGCTAGCAGCGGCACCGAGACCGTTGTCGTTAATATACTGGATCGGGAAAAAGCAGAAAATACCGGTAGCCTGGAATGTTCGTCGCACATCGTCAACAAATTCATCGTTCCAGTCGGTCTTGTAGTGGAGGCCTGCAGCTTCGAGATGCGACGGCTTAGCCAGGTCCCAGAAACCGGAGCGACCAAGCTTCCTAAAACCACCACGGCGGAGACAAATGCCAAGGACTCGGAAAACGTTGCCAAGATCGCTTCCGCCCGGAGGATGAAGGATCAATCGCTTGTAGAGGAACCAGAGAAGGAGCGGAAGGGGAAGGTAGAGTAGAAGAGGGATGAGGAATGCAAGCCACCATCCAACGTACTTCTCCGAATAGGATGTAGCAACTCCCATAAATCCACCGATGTTAATCAGAAGGTAAAACCAAAGCATGACTCGTTCGGTAGTAGACTCGGGATCTTGGATTACACGCTCGCCAGAGGCTAGCGTCATGACCTTGGGGACGGTGATGGTTATTTGATCTAGTAGAAGGGGAGAGACGTTGGGCTTGAACATAGCTTAGGAAAACCTGTTAGTCTTAACAATTCCATACAAATGCGCCATGAGAGAAACTTACCGGCACCAATTGATAAGATATACACGGAAAGGAAATAGGGAATCTTAGCCGTGCCGGCTGCCAAAAGGTCTTTGGCACCTGCGGCAACCATCAAGACGTGAGCAACACCGAATACCACGACACCCCAGCAGATAAGCGCAAAACGTCCGGTCTTCACGTCGGCGAGCCAGCCGAAGAGCATAGGTAGCGCGTATGCCAACATGCTAAAGGACTGAGTAATGGCATTTGCCGTGACTTGTCCGAGCCCTAGAGCGCCGCCCGTCTCCTGGGTCCCCACCGGAGGAGCTCCGTAACCATTTCCATTTTCCGGTAGAGGTCGATTAACGTAGTTGCTAATCAAGGGCTGAACACCATAGTAAGAAGCTCTTTCGCAGAACTCTACTATGCAGATTAGGTAGGCGACAATGGGTAGGCTGCCGGGAACTCGGCGCAGAGTCCTCATCTCCTCCTCTGTCGGTTTGCCCTCGTAATCCGCCTCCATTACAGAGGGGTCGAGGTACGGGTTGTGGGAATCACCCGGAGGCGTCTTGGACATCTTCTCCTCGTCGATAGGCGAGCTAGTGCCCGAGGCACGCTCGACGGGGTCTACTGCGTTACCTAGGGTATGTCAGCAGGCGTTCAAATGGCTAAACCACGTCGTCGTCGTCGTCGTCGTCACATCTCTTGGTGTTTAACATACCCATCGCTAATCCCTGTCTCTAGACGGTTCGCAGTTACGCAGATGAATGCGATACTAGAAAACAGAGAAAAGAAAAATCGAAGGGGACGGTGGGATTTATGCTAAAAAAGACCTAGGATGGCCCACAATATCGGGAACTATGTACGTGCGTACTAGATGCGTACTAGATGCGTGCTGGGTATGTATGGGGTTTGACATGGATAAATACTACCGAGTATCTAGCCTACTGAATCGGGTCTCCAGGTGAGCCTCGTATCAAGCAATCAAGCAATCAAGCAATAACCATGCTATAGATGGGTTCTCGGCGTGCGGCGAGGTTCGAGGGGCGAAAGACCTACGAGAGGATCTTACAGGTTGTTGGAGCTACTTTCGCTAATGACGGGACCAGGCCATATTGTCGGACTTTCCGTATTTCTACTGTCTCGGTCTCGAGCATGGAGCGGCAGCCAGTAAGAGCGGACAGACTCGTTATCTTCGTGCCACTCATGCGGGTCTAGCGATGGGGGGGGAGTTGCTGGTCTGTTTGGGTTACCCCTGTCCCGGTGTCTTTTGTCTTTTGTCTTTCATACAGGTCACTATGTGCATAAGGATAGTCTCCAAAAAAGCCTCTCGAGGCCGGCCGAGTCGTGAAAGAGATCGGATTGGGTCTAGCGAGCTAGCGTATATCACCGAGTTACATCCGTCGAGCACGGCTGGGGGAACATGCTCGTAATTCTGGTAATATTTATGCCGGAATGGGAAGGTGATTGTCTGCAACCAACCCTTGAGACTTTGCTAGGGACTGTTACGTTGTATCACAGTCCTACTGTGCAGTATCCAACGCCCAATGGCCTGGGACATATTAACAAGATAATTGATACGTTATGCGTAAGTTGCGCGAGTTGCGTGAGTTGCGGCGCGGGTTAACATAGGGTCCAAAGCTTCGATTGGGCGGGCTTGGCAGGGATGTGACTTACACTAGTGTATGTACATGGATGAGATTATATGGGGGGACACTGCATAGAAGCTGAACCGAAGCATTCGATGCCATGATACTACCACACTACACCTGCCATGATACGCTATTTTTGCCAAAGACAATCAAGCTTTCAAGCCAAGCTGAACGGGTTCTTTTCATTGATTTATTAAGCTTTTGCCCAGCCGGTGAGGCTTGTATAGGCGGGATCTTGTTTTCGGCAGAATTCCAAATCTTGTCCAACTCTCGAATCGGCATCACGGCGTTCCTTTTGCCACACTCCATAGAACTGATAAGCTACATAGATAGGTACCTACCTTTATCAGAGCTGAGTTATCATGTACCTAAGTACCTGCCGTAAGCCGCCTCCTACGATTAATGGCTACCTACATGTAGCACCGAATTTTAAGATCTAAGCTATGACATTTTGAGTAGCCGTCTCCGGGTTTTATATCATCCTTCCCCCCTAGAGTAATTTCTACGGGTAAGGTCGCGTGGTCATTTTACCTGAGCGCGAGATTTCGATTTAGCGATTTCCGATCGTGTTGGCAGGTTGGTAAGCGAATAGTCATGTCATATGATGAAATGCTTTGCTATACATAGTATACTTAATGTAATCCGTATGTTCTGCAGTTATTCAGCTCCAACACTGTCCAACCTCGGTTCCTAGCAAAGTACGTACAGTATGTAGGTACCTAACACGGTAAGTGTGACATAGTATCGATAACGGAAATAAATTAATTCCCCAGACTCAAGTCGGACACTCAAACTTTAAGTACCTACCTCCTAACTCATTACAAATACCTAACTACCAGCCAGCCGGAACTCATCCGCAAAAACCTTTCTACCTATTACATACAAACGTTAAATATACAAAATACTTAATATAAGCATACCGATACCTAGACAACACTTTCTTGATCAGGCAAATTAGGCAATTGTTCTCTGCATGTTTTCCTTGCCATTATTGTTCACGCGATCGACTCTAAAAGACACCCTACCTAACCAGGTGAAGCAGCTGAGCAGTTAGGGCTAAGAGGTAGATACCTACCTAGGTACCTACCTACCTAAATGTAAGATGTTAGATAACCTGCGGGCCCACTCGGCCCTATTATAGTAGGTACATAATGTATAACACCTGTAAGCCATATAAATTCATTTACGTGCAAATAAGCTGGCTGTATAGATGTATTGTACCTATCAACCAATCAAATCCTACCTAAGTCTTCCCTTACTGAATACGGTTCGCACATGAAGCCACGCTCGAAACTCATTGGCTCTGATCTAGAATGAGGTACATCTACAAATACATAAGCACGCGATCGTGGATCTAAAAAGCAACATTGTTGCCCCTTACCTTAGATAGAGGCAATTGTATGTAGAAGCAACAAAGCGTATCGTATCGCATTATGATTTTAAACCTGATTACACCTAACATAACACCCGATTTGCCAATGGCCAATGATCAATATATTTACATGACCCACTTCAATGAGCCTGAGAATCATATCCTACTGCGGTAAACGTCACAATACCATCAACGATGCTGTTGATCGTATCATACATAAGGCATAAGCGCATCTCTTCGCGTAGATCATGTATGCGTCTATCGTCACAGATATCATTTTGGATATCTACAACTGACAACTTCATCTACGCACGCAACTGTTCATAAAGACTACCTAGGTAATATCCCAATCTGTATCGCCAGAGATATCTATGAATGCTGCCAACCCCAACCTCTACTGCAGTTTGGTTTGCCTTTTCTGTTACTCGATATCTAGTAGACTCCGCTCCAATGCTCTGGTGTATTCTCATTGTATCATTCGTCTCACCTTATCGTCCCAAGAGCATGGTTCTGAGCTCAGATCGGCTGTCTTAATTGGTTGAGAGACACAGTCCATTCATAGCGTCGACGGGTGGCGTAGTACGTCGACAAACACCCGTCTGTCTGCATGATACAAACGAAAACGTGAACCTTAAGTTGACATTTGCAAGTTTTCAGCCCTGTCGCTCAACCCGACCCGAATAAATGTGCGTCAACAAACAATCAGGAAGATGTGAAAGGCTTTTATCAGCGGTTCCACCCAGCCATCTAGATAATTCGAAGAACACCCACGCATTTGACCGCCAACGTACGATTACAAAAGCCTAATAAGCTAAGTAATACGGCATGATTACGGAGACTTATTAGCGTCGGGGTTGGAACTACATAAAACTGGATATTCGAAATTGCGCTTAACTCCTACCGCCGGTTCCCGCAGTATCTTCCCGTCGTTGATTAATGTATACTACAAGGATCTAACTGGAACTTTGACAACTGCTAAAATATAAGCAAACTAAATGTCCAAATCAGCAGAGAGCATATGCCGAACGCTCCGAGGTTCGAACTAGAGAAAAGCTTAAACAATTCTCGAGCAAATTCGGCTAAAGGTGGTTCATGTCATACAAAAATGTTCTCACCCAGTTTCTCTTGCAGCATTCGACATGTTGAGAAATAGGTAGTCCAGAAAGACAGTTAAATTAGAAGTTGAATGTCTTATATTTTGACTGTCATCTTAGATAAGTAATCAATAACGCCCTAAATCCTATTCCACGTGTCAGCGGGATTCAGGGGGTGATGATGAACTAAAATTTCAAATATTCCTTGTAATATATAAACAAACCCTCGACCACAAAGAAATCAAACAAGATAAGCCTGGTAAGTATAAAGGACTCTCCAAATTAATCAGGTATAGTATACCGAATAGTCACCTACTTACATGGTCATTTACTATACCCAAGGTACAACCTCTACTCTGCTTTGATTGCGGGAGGGCAATCTGTGTGACTTCTACAAGATCCTTTCATAGTATATTAACAAGCAACACCGAAACTTGCGTAGCGTACTGGCTACTACGGCAGTGATTTATCATTCTAGCTAAAGGGGTAACTAACTTGAACTGTCAAAACAAAGTTTAAGTATAACTCATTCAAAGCCGGATATTACATAGTAGCTAGACTAGCGTTAGTTTCGGGAGAAAAAAGGCTAGATTATGAGCTGGTCACAGTTAATCCTATTACTTCTCGCTGGCCTGGTGTGTTTTATACTAAAGTGTTAGTAATGGTAAACTCTTAAGTCATAAATCGACAAAGTTTACGACTGTTGTAGGTGCGATGATAATGTTACTCGAAAGCTAGATAATACCACGTATATTCTAAACAATAAGCTAGCGGGCCTTGAAAGTTGTATGAACGCCTTCCCCATTATAATGCACCGAGATTTGCCAGCAATAGATACTAATCCTGCTTATAGACCTGTCTTAAACCTTCGCCCTTTAGTGTCCTCGAGCCCAAATTGTCATGAGGATTGTCATGAGGTGGTGTAAGAAGTAAAGGAGCAACTTTGTTGTTGTTCCGCGAATAACCTTAAGCTAAGTATAGGAGCCTATAGCTTTACTTACGGAAAGTATCTTTAGTTCTAGATGAGAATCCTAGAATCCTGACACAATTTGAGCTCCCAAGAATTGCCTCAGCAGTTGACTGCTTTAATACAAACGGGATAATTTTGATTCAATACCTGTCAAATTTATTTGGGGGGGGGGCCCCGCCGGGCCCACGAAGAAAGATAGAATAGTAGAGGGAGGAAAGAGGGGAAGAGCGGAGGAGGGG